CGAGAAACAGGTACAATCACAGGCCACACGGTTCCGTGGTAACGCCGTGAATAGTATAAAGGCACAAAAGCTGTTCTTCAACAACCAAGGTGAAGAAGCTCTCAAGGCCTTTGAGTCATTGAGAGAGCAAACGATTGAGTTTGAAAAGCGGGTGGAACAAGGAAAATAAGCAACTAAATACTAGACAGATGTAATGGCTAGCTACGCATAAATGAAATGCTGTACCACTGGTCAATCTAGTTGGAGGCTTGCAAGGCTTCATGCAGTGCAATTGGAAAAGGAACGTAATTTAGCCACTTGGTCTCTGTACGCAATAAAATGAGCTGTTGTGTGGCCACAAAAAAATGAAAATCTCTGTGTGAGCTCAACGTTAGTGAGAGCTACCGGTATGCATACCGGTACCATAGGAGATATATGCATACTGTACTGGAGTCCCTTTCCTACTAGCATATATGACATATATGACATAGCTCTAGTAGATGCATAGCTAGTAATTAATGGAGCAGCTGTCTTTTGTGGCACCTGAAGCAAGTATTGTTTCTCACCTGAGGAAGGCCGTGAGGTCAGCAGTGGCGTATTTCTAAAACACACCACGGCCTCGATTATCGGGAGTTGTTTGCACCAGGTATTAAACCGGAGCGAAGCGATGTGTTAAACCGTTGGGGGCAGGTCCACTAAGTGAGGTGGTGTGTATTAGAGGCAATACACCGATGGGTGGTTACTGACAGTAATTAAGGCGGTTATTTGCTCTGAAGGACTACATCACCCAAGAATCGTGTTCGCAGTTCCAGTTTCTCAGTGTCATCAATTCTTCGACAAGAATTGTCTGTAACCGTAAACTCATCCCAACTGTGACCAATCTTTTTCGCGGCCGCTTCTAGGCGAGGAATGAGAGAGGTGGGGAGTTTTGCGGCTTGTGTGTATACCACTACACCACCGTAGCCATCCCATGCATCATTGCTACCTCGGTAGTAGACAAAGGCAAAGGGTGGAATTCCGTCCTTGTTGTCGGCATACTCATAGTCAATAATGTACCAATCATCTTTGTAATGCAAGTATTCATTGTCATGGTTGATCAAGTGTGCCGGCTCCTTTGGATCTTGCACAAATTGTTGCAGTGCATCTCGGGTAAAGAGCTCACCATCTGGTTCGACAATGTCCCAGTTCAGCTTTCCAAAGAAGGTGCCTGGAGATGACTCTGTGAAGAAGTGAACCTGACAGGGAAAGATATCAAACAGTGGATTCAATCCGGCGGTAATGTATAACTTTCCATCAAAGAACTTGGTTTTAAAGTCAGGGACCATTTGTGCATGAGTGGGTTCCGGGTATAATCCTTCATCTGGCTTTTGAGGGACACAACTCATGTCGGACACGGCACATTTGTTGAATTCGCCAATGACTGCATTGTCAAAGATATCTCCACACTTAATCTGGCATCCAGTTTCATCATCTTTGTCGTTGCAAGAGTTGATACAAATCACATTGGCCAAGCAACCTGGGTTGGTTATGCACTTTGCAAATTGTACCTGGCACTTGGACAGCAAACAGCCGACAATGGCACCCGGGTCTGTGGCGGCCACAGCTGTTGGCACAGCCACAGGAGCTGACCAAGTAGCAATGGAGAGAGCAGCTGCCAGGAAGACCGACTTGATCGCGCCATCCGCGACCTGAACAGATTGACGAAACTTCTGAAGCATGTCCTCATTATTATCATCGCTACTACCGGTATTGTCATTCTTTCCAAGCATCAAAGAAGTCGCGGTTGATGGGTAGCACTGCTGGTCTTGCAGAGGGATTGGTGTCGTTGGGACAGCATGATGATGGCGGTGCTGCGAGGACACAAAACCTGATGCCTCGGAAGCGAGAATTAAAAGAAGCAGTGGGCGAAGCATCATTTTGCTCCTATCCTTCAATCTCTTCACTCTCGACCTGTTGTCCTGAAATCTTTAGAAGAAAACTAGCTACGTTTCTTCTCCCAAATCCGACGAAATGGCTGATGCCTATCGATTACTGGCTGGCTAGCTAGTAGTAGAGGCTTCGGCTGAGTTAGCAAGGCTAACTGTCGGTCGAGACAACATCAGCCCATGGTCGGAAAGATCGGCAGATGTGGGGGCCCATCACTGACGTTGGTGTGAATAGATACGTTGTGACTCACTTGACTCGTCACTGGACTCACTTACTCTGTGCTGTTTGTGACTCATTGATCCTCATCTCACCCCATTGCGGTGTCAAAGACTGACTACGTAGGAGAAGCCCGGAATACGTTGCATCCGGCTGTTACTTGGATGGACTTTTTCAATTGAAATATAATAAAAAGCAAGCAGAGGAAAACTCGGCAAACAGAAATTGAACCTTGAAATGGAGCTGGGTCCGACAAGGGGCGGGTCGACAAAATGAGGGGGCGGAAGTCAAACCGTCAATCGAATCGAATCGTCTAGGGATCTACAGAAAGATGTCAGGCTACAAAGAGTGCCGGAGAGCCCAACCTGAGGAAAAGCAAAATCGCTTTTAGAGTGTAGCTGCTAGCGGTAGCTACCTGTAGTATCTTTGGCGTGCTTTGCTTCTTTTGTGAGAAGGTCGGCTGGGTTCCAAACTTGGAAGCAAACAAAGCCTCATACACCCAGATATCGGTAGACCTCAACTAAAACTAGACTACTGTATGCATGTCTCCGAGCAACCCCCCTGGAAGCCACCGGTATGTCTCTGGACATGTCGCTGGACAACCCACGGAAACACTTACGTCGTACAGTCGTACTCAGTACTTTGGCACCATTCTCACAGGGCTTGTAACAGAAATTGCTGACGTGATAATTCTCTCGGAGAAATCGAATTTCAATCTTCCGCGTAATCACCGGTGAAACAACGCAAGTCTCTGAGTAAGCAGATGATGTTGGCCAGACAGAGCTGTTGCTAACGCTGACGAAAGACACTCAGGCACAGGCTCCGTACGGCTAATGAACAATACGAAGCACATGTATAGCCACGAATGCCATTTGACAACGCATCGATTGCTAGCTACGAAGCGCTACTAGATTGCGTTCGATTGTGACTTTCGTCTGGTTATCTCCATCACTTGCAACCGTCGTCGCATAGTTTTGCCAAGGCAACTTCGCTGCAACCTAACTAAACGTTCTCAACATGGTGATCACCCGAAGCCTAGTGCTTGCTGCTCTCTTGGGTCTTGCCCCAACGGCCTCTGGTTTTGGAGTCAAGCCTGTGGCAACAAGACAAAGTACCCCTGCTTTTTCTTCCACTTCGGCTGTGCGTGTGGCTTCGACTCTTCCTTCGCCGACGGACACAACGGTCAAGGGTGGGGATGATAAGGAATATGAGTTTACGTCCATGCCCGATGAAATCTCCGAGGAAAATCCTCTTCGAGTCTTGGTGGCAGGAGCTGGTGTGGGTGGCTTGGCACTGGCCAGGTCCCTGAGCAAGAATCCATTGATCAATGTCACTGTCATTGAACGAACAGATCAATTCAAGCGCTTTGGAGGACCCATCCAATTGGCTTCCAACGCCTTGACAATCGTGAAGGAAATGGACGAGGGTATCTACAATCAAGTGATGGAAAAGTTCACCTTTACGGGTGACAAAGAAAACGGCATCAAGGATGGAATCCGAGATGAGTGGTATGCCAAATTTGATCTTGCTTCCCCTGCTGAAAGTCGTGAAATGCCATACACTGGTGTCATTGAGCGTCCTGATCTCCAAAATATTTACCTCAATTCTCTACCCGAGGGTGTCGTACGCAATGGAGACGGAGTCATTGGGTATGAAAAGAACCCCAAAGGACATGGAATCAAGGTCGACCTAGACAGTGGAGCCACCATAGAAGGCGACGTGCTGATTGGTGCGGATGGAATCTGGTCTGCTGTGAGGGCCACTATGCGAGATGAACCCATTCGTGGGGACGATAGCGGTGTCGCCTACTCCGGATACACTGTTTTTGCCGGAGAGCTCAATTATGATTCTTTTGACAATGGCATGGTTGGCTACAAAGTGTACATTGGTCCGGGTCAATATTTCGTTATTACAGATATTGGCAATGGTCGTTATCAGTGGTATGCCTTCTTGGCTCGTGCTCCCGGTTCGGCGGAAACAGAAGAGAAGCCAGAGGGATCGTCCAAGTACTTGCAAAACATCTTCACTGGATGGAGCAAAGATGTTCATCACATCCTGAAGGCAACCCAAGAAGACGAGATCGAGCAACGTGACCTCTACGACCGTCCACCTTCGGTTCGAAAGCCTTGGACGGATGGCCCAGTTGCCCTTCTGGGCGATGCTGTCCACGCAATGATGCCCAACTTGGGACAAGGAGGTTGCCAAGCAATCGAAGATGCTTTCGTCATTGTCCAAGAGCTTGAGGAGTGCAAGACCAGAAACGAACTCTCTGGTGCGATGGGACGTTACCGCGACAGACGATTGATCCGATCCGCAGCAGTTCAAGGTCTCAGTCGCTTTGCCTCTGACATTATCATCCGTGGCTTCGACACCCCAGCAAAGATTGTCAAAGCTGACGATGGTTCGATCCGATTTGAGAACTTCAACTATGCCGGTGTTGTCACTTCGATCCTACGACCAATCTTGCCCATCTTCTTTGCGATCCAATTCGCTTTCTTGTATGATGGCTGGAAAAATGAGGTCCAAATCGATGGTAAGGCTGCTGTTGGATTCCTCTTCGTCGGTGGGCTGATCTTGCTCTTGGGAGCGGGATCTGTCGGTGAAGCAGGTCTGGTGCTTGGGCCAATCATTGAAGGTCTCTTCGGTGCAGAGGGGCTTGTCTTTTCTTCGGAAGGGTTGCTGGGCTCAGAAGGGTTCCAGGGAATCTTCGACGCATTGAATGGAATGTTCTAAACAGCCAGTACTGCATGCACAAGCAACACTGTCTACACTGTACATAAATGCGACCATGAATGATCGCCGTCCGAGACAAACACGGCACTACATAACGAGAGGTGGCTGATGCGCTGAAGCTGAAGTGGAAAGAGGAATAGACTTTGCCGCAGCCCTTTAGAGTATTTAAACTACCAGCATCTAGAAAGTTTCATATTGGACTTACACCACCTACCGGTAGCTAGCTGGAGATGCCAGTAGGAGCAATAGCAACATGGCTGCCCAAGTGTAACGGTATTGTGATCTGTGCCGCGGAATGCTTCCATTTTCACGTCCTGAATAGAATATGACGTTGAGCTGACACTGTCGCCTCTTCGGCTTTCTATTGCATGCAATTCCATTCACCCATGTGGCCAAGGGATATCACATGATGGCTCGGATCACTTCTACCGAAGATTGATGGCTTTAGAGTTCGTGCATGTATTAAATTTTAGTATTTTAAAAGCTTGCGCAAGAGTGGTTTCTACAAAAATGGCGCTCTGGTGTATTGCCAATCATTATCGCCCCGCTGCGAACAAAAACGATAGAAAAAACTTAGAACGAGAAGACGGACTCCCTCTTGTGTCCAAGCGCCAACAAGTTGGGTGTGCATCCTCTGTCAAGCATGATGGGAGGTCCACACATAAGGTTGTAAACATCGCCGGCTGCGTCATACAGGTGTTCAGCAAAAAGCTTCTTGTCAACAAATCCCGTCGAAAACTTCCAGTCTGAAGGCCAGGCATCAGAAAGGATGTAGTGGACCTTGAACTTATCAGGGAAGTTGGCAGCCCATTCGTCAAGGGTTGATCGCATCAACAAGTCTCCTTCCTCCCTGCAAGCAAAGATGAGCGAGATCTTGGTCTTGTCTTCGGGATGACGGAGGATCTCAGCCGCAATTTGCATGACAGGGGTGATACCTGTTCCGCCAGCAATCATATTGTAGCACCTCGCCTTGGACTCTTCGCCGTCCAACAAGAAGTCTCCGTTGGCAATGTACTCGAATTCACCGACTGGTCCACGCAAATCCAACTCGTCCCCAATCTTCAATGCATCCAAGTACTGACTCATCTTTCCACCATTGGGGAATCGTTCGCAGGGTCTGTATGCCTTGATGACAAACTTGACACAGCCCACATCGTAGTTGGAAGAGATGGGAGTGTACCGTCTAATGACCATCTCGTCTCCGATCTTGGCCGAGAAGAAGATGTGCTTTCCGGTTGGCAATCCCAACACGTGATCCTTGGTAGGCAAGGCGAAGTCCAACATGTAGGAATCGCGAGACAAAACGATCTTCTTTTGGAGCTTGAAGGGAGTCTTCTTTTTGGGGTTCAAAGCAAGCTTGTTTCCCTTGGCATCGGTCAGCTCGTCGGAAGTAGCCTCCTTCTTGATCGACGAAGTGTCAAGGTCGCCGATGTAGTATTTTTCAAGCATCTTGGTGGCCTTGGCAGAGTGGATTGCCACAAAATCTTCGGTGGCATCGGCTCCAGCATTGATAGTGATGGAATCCACACCACCAGGGTGCAGTTCGAGGTACTCGGTGGCATCGTAGACCTTGTTCTTGACAATGATCCAGCAGTCTTCTTCAGAGTTGTGCTTCTCCACTTCGGCCATGGTGAAGGTTTTCTTGCTTCCCTTGGCTGCTTGGGCGGGTTCAGGTTCGTCTGCTTGGGGCTCGAGAACCTCCAAGAGCTTTCCAAATCCTGCGGAGACGGGCTTGCCAGAGATCTTGGTCATCCACCCACCAGCTTGTTGTCCGGCCATGGTGGGATGTTCAAAGCGGAAGACGTGCTCGCCCGAAGCAGACTTATCCATGTGGACCTTGATTCGGAAAACTTGGTTGTTTCCCATTCCCATCAAGTTCCAGGTAGGAGAGTCGGGCTGAGTGTTATTCGCCTCATCCCAAGCACGGCAGATGATTTCCTTGCAGCCAACCAAGTCGGAGACCTTGACCTTGTAGGTCCACCAAACCCAGCACCAGTGCATGTCGTAGTTCGTGGGCTTTTCCTTGCAGTCGACCTCAGCCAATTGCCAGTGAACACCACCATCAGTACTGACCTCCACACGAGTAATCTTGCGGCCGCCTCCGGTGTAGGCATATCCGACGCACTCGTAATGCTTGTCAATGTTCTTGGCGATAGACAAGGTCTCGTTGTGATCGGGTGAGGACATTGCAGAGTTAATGTTGAGTTCATTAAAAATGTACTCAGGTTTGTACCACCAATTTCCCTTGAGAGATTCTTCAGCGGTGATGTGAGGGGGGAGAATCCTGTTGTCGTGGTAGTGGTAATGATTTTTGGTTTCATGCTCAATCACATTAACCTCCTTGAGCCATTTAATCATTCGACCGCCAATATATCCAGGAATGATAAGACGAACGGGGAATCCATGGTCGGGTTGAAGGACGTCACCGTTAGCCTCGTAGGCAACAATGACGTCGTAGGCAGGGTTCATGGCCCGAGCCAAAGGAATCGAGGTACCGTACTTTACAAGTTTCCCCCATGGTTCATCAGGGAAAGGACCTGGTCCGACCTTGTTGGGCAAATCTTCAATTCCAATAAACTCCACATGCTTTCCTCGCATATTCTTCTCAGACACCCCAGCCTTGATGAGCAAATCACGAAGCATGACACCCTTCCAGACATTGGTGGAGACTCCAGCAGGTCCCCAATTAAATCCAATGGTTTGACGGATCATATTTTGTTCCTTGCGTCTGTTACCAGCACAGACCAAAGTGACGGGCAATTCTCGAGGTTCCATTGCAGCCAATTCATCCATGGAAATTTCGAATGGGCTGGTCACACATGGACCGCCAAAGGAAATAGTGTGCTCTTCCCACTTGAGTTGGGGGCAGGCACCGTGATTTCTCACATAGTGCAAGCTTGATGGAGTAATAAATCGGTACTTGTTGTGGATGGACATGGGAGGCTCCACATTGAAGGGATGACGACCGGTCAATCGAACAAGGCGGCCATCACGGGGCAACCACTCATCAGGAGTTCCCTTATCACGATAATCGCACTCCTTCACATCGTAGATGGTCTTGGCTTTTTCAATGACATCCGATGATGGGGTTTTCTCGTCCTTATCAAGAAAGGGAGTGGGAATAGCCTTAGGGTAAGGCCCATAAAGTTCTTCGCACGTTTGTTCGTTGCTTGTCATGGTGCTAAGGATGTCTTTAGTTTCAATGGGGTCTTGAGGACGGGGAGCCATGGGGGAAGCTTGATACTCTACTGTCTCAATCCACAGGTTTCAAAGAAAAACTATCCAGAAGATTTGTGGGCTAAAGTGCTGCTTGATTGGCAGCACAAGGGATTTGATGAGGGGAGTAACGAGAGACGTCAGTCTTGTACTGCCGGAAGTAACTCTAGCGTCCAGGTGGCCCATTGGCAAGCAAAAACAACGGAGCGGATCAACGTAAGCCTTCGGGGAGTGGACAGCTCCAGAACTTTCTAAAAAAGAATCCTCGAAAGCACGGCACTTTTTTTGGTTTAGGAAAGGGGACACCATGAGCTGGCACACGATCTGTTTTTACTCGCGCATACGGAAGAGATCCTCATCGTGATGATAAGATCCTGCATTGGAGGCATTGGAGGGTGGGGCAGCAGCTGCGGCAGTACTTCGTAGGTCTACTCCACCCAGCTTGATCTTCTGCCATCGCGTTGGGCTTTTAGTTCAACAGTTGCTGCCCCTTGAAGCTATTTGTTGTCCACCTCCAGCCTCCAGCACACGGCAGTGCAACAGCCAGCACAAAATCAAAGACAATGAAGCCAAAATGCCGGCCCATATCTACATGTACCTAACTCCAATACAGATCCATGGTGAAAGCAAGGAATCATCCATCTGCAAGCAAACTTCTACATCTGTGGATGATCCAGCCGCTTTTCAGATAGCCAATGGAATGCTACGGTACGGTGGGGTACGGTATTAGTCTAAATTGGCTGATTGGTGGTGCAATCATCCAATGGTGGTTAGCAGCAGACCTACGGTACATGCGTGGCTGGTTGCTTCCTCCTCTACAGTATAAAACTCCAGCCATGGTTCGAGTCCCAATCAAATCAATGCTATTCAGTGCAGGGACTGCTATTCAGTGCAGGGACGTTTTGCAGGGTGCTTTGAACAAATCCCATACAGTACATGTATCTCTTGTCTCTAGCTAGCTACCAGCCTGTAGTTATTGCTGCCTGTGCTAGACTGATCCCCTTTCCCACAGCCAGCACCGGCTCTTCGACAGATTGAGTCTCCGCCTCCGCTATAGATTTTGCTGTTGGCATTGGATGTTCTGTTCTATTGACCTTGTGCTCTTCCCAACCTTTACCAACCAGAAGGATCCAATTCTCAACTTACCCTCTCCTTCTTCGAGCAGTAATAGAACATGGAGTTCTTGGTGTGGGAATGGAAGAACTCACCAAAACGGCTTCTTGATAATGGCAGGATCGCGGGAATCGATTGATTGCGTTCTAAAACGACGTCCGGTACTGTACTAGTTAGTACAGCACCGCGGTGGTACTGTGGCTCAAGGCTCCTTGAAGCAGATCAAGGGGCTAGCTAGCTAGTAGAGGCAAAACATCTCAGTAATGTTGCGTTCTCATAGCAAGAAGCTAGCTAGATGCGTCTGGTTATTGCATGCCCATTGTGCTTCAGGCATTCGTTCTGGCTGCATCGGGCCATCCGCAACCAACAAGCCGGAAGCCTAAAGGTATCCTCCCCTGGAATAGAATATTCTACAGCCCCCAACTTCCTCTTCAAGCTGTTTGCTTTATGGATTCCATTCTTTTTCATTGTCGTTCTTGGCCTTTTTTGGTGCCGGTAGACGGTAGACTAGGTAGGAATAGAATCCTTTCCTCCGGCTTTCTGTTGTCAACGACAACAAACGTTGGGATTGAGGGTTAGACGATGTTGTAGACGTTGCAAAAAAGTGCCGGAGGGTGTGGTATGACGTGTTTTTGTTGGCCTTCGCATGGGACAGGCGGTCAGACGAGGCATTGACATTCATGAATGGAAGTCCAAAGAATCAATCCAATCTGCGGCAGGCGACAGCAGGTTTTTACACTCTCCATCCAAGGTCGAGTTGTGGGATTCTCAGCAAGCAACTGAAACATCCTGTTGATGGTATCGTTTCATCACCAGACTTCTGTTTGTCACTTTTATTAGTTTCGAGCAGTGCACAGGGCAACACAAAGAAAAAGCAGGGACAGGTTACCTATATTATTGGACCAGGATAGTTGTTACCTATATCTGATCCTGATTCTACCCAAATTTTCTTTTTTCTTTCGCAAAATAGAAGTCATGATGCTTCGATCTTTGGTATCCAAGTCGACAACCAGCAGCAGCAGGGGCTTGCAGTGTCTTTATGGTGGCGGCAAAAGTCATTCCTATCAGATGATGAAGGGTGGAAGGATGTTATCATCTCTTGAGCCTTCGATGACCTTTGGGCGACGACGCCGTCAAGAGCTCTCGACATCGGCGGTACCGGCTCTGGACGAGGATGACTATGAAGAAGAAGTATCTCCTGTGATTATCCACAAAACAAAATCCAATACGAAGGCTGGTACTGGAAGTAGCACCACATCATCAGCCAAGCCCCGCCTTCATGCTCTCCGAGAACAACTCAAGAAAGAACCCCCTCTTCAATCTTTTCTTAACAAGAAGAACAACAGCAACAACTCTGCAACGGAAAACAGCAACAGCAGCACCAACAACCAGACCACGTTGCACTGGAGAGAGCTGCTGGAACGATCACAAGAAACTGAATATGATGATTCTGAACTATTGCAGCAACGAGAACAACCGGCAGCTGCAGCAGCTGTCCGTCCGGTACTAACAGATCGGTTTGGTCGACATCACAATTACTTGAGGATATCACTGGCCGAACGATGCAATCTACGCTGTACCTACTGCATGCCTCCGGAAGGAGTGCCCCTGCAACCCCAATCCCAGTTGCTGCAGACACCTGAAATTCTTTCACTGGCACGGCATTTCTACAATCATGGAGTCACCAAGATTCGGCTCACGGGAGGAGAACCCACTCTGCGAAAGGATTTACTCGACATTTTGCAAGGGCTCAATGACATTGGGAGAAACGATCGCGAAAGTAATAATAATAATAGGAGTGGATTGGATGAATTGGCCATTACCACCAATGGCGTCACATTGGCCAAACACTTGGATGCGTACATTGATGCCGGTTTGAATCGAGTCAACATCAGTCTAGATACACTTTTGCCCGACAAATTTGCACAACTCACACGGCGACCGGCATCGTACTACGATCGAGTGTGGGAATCTATCGAAGCGGCCGCTGCCAAGGCACCACACGAGTTGGTGACCAAAATCAATGTCGTTGTCATGAACGGAGTCAATCAAGACGAAGTGGCAGATTTTTGTGCGCTTCAAAAACAATTCCCCAATCTGCATGTACGATTCATTGAGTACATGCCCTTTACTGAAAATGGATGGAACATGGACAAATGGGTGCCCTACAGAGACTTGTTGCAACAATTGGAACAACAAGATCATGTCCAGCTCGTGAAACTACCCGAACTAGATCCAAACGATACTACCAAGTGGTACACCACTCTGGAAAACAGTACGAGAATGAACGGCGACAAAAATCTTGGTCGCATTGGGTTCATCACGTCCATGTCTCAGCCGTTTTGTGGTACGTGCAATCGACTACGATTGACATCCGATGGACAAATCAAGGTCTGTCTCTTTGATGGCAATTCTACCATTTCGCTCAGGGATGCCATGCGAGAAGGAGCCAATGGAATGGAATTGGATCAACTCATTCAACATGCTCTGCGCAAAAAACACTTTTCTCTGGGAGGTCACTCGTCACCCGAACACATCCTAGCCGATTCCGATCAAAATCGACCCATGACTTTGATTGGGGGTTAGGCGAACAGTACATAACAATAGTAAAGATAACAGTGTAGTAGGGTGTACAAATAAGAGTCAAGTGCGAAAATGAGTCCAGTCGGCATCGAGTGGAGATAGATGCTTGTTTTGAGCAAACAGAAAAAGAGCACGATCTCATTCATTCGTCTCAGCTCCAAGTCGGTGGAGCAGAGGTGCCGAGTGGCCAGCTCTACCGTACAGCCAACTTTTGATCAAGTTACAGTCTTGATTTCAGTGTACCTTCAAGAGGACTACCAGCTCCTGGATCAAACCAGGCCCATTCCGCCCTCTCGTAAACTCTCATGGACCAACACCAGGTCCATCACCAGGACCACTCCCGGGCTGACTCCTGGAACAACTCATGGACCCACCCCAATGCCCCAATCCCAGAGCAACACCAGGACCCACTCCCAGACTAGCTCTAGGACCACACCTGGACCAACTCCAGGCCCATCACTAGGTCTCACTCCCCGAAACTTCTGGACCCGGCCTCACTCCAGGGACAACACCGGGTCCATCACCAGGACTCGCTCCAGGCCCTACAGTATCACCAGGACTCGCTCCTCGGCCCGGACCAACTTCTGGCCCCACTCCAGGGAATACTATTGGTACCTCCAGTCCTCAGATTTTTGACCAACCCTGCTAACAAGGCAGGCAGGTATATGAGGTTGGATCTTGGATTTTTGTTAGCTCGAAGCCTTCCACCATGACCAGCACAAGCTGCGATAGTGCCATTAATGTTGGAGTAAGATAATGGCATGCACAGAAACGCAATACATTGCAGGATGCTAGAAGGCAACACCGGCAATTGTTGCAACGCAAAAGAACAAAAAGTCACTTGCGGGAGATCCTGACCAATCTTTCCGATACTACCGGTTTCGGTGGGTCTAATGGTGCATGCTCACAAACAAACTGCGAATGGTTTTGGCTTGCGTCTGCGGATACCAGTATCAAAACACTACTGTAAAGGCTGCCGTAGACTAACTTGGTAGTGTTGCCTTTCGGAGATGCCAGTGTCCTCTCCAGACGCCGAGTATTCCTGTATTGTACGGACACCCAATAGCAGGGGGGTGTTTCTTTGAGGCAGGCGTGGTCTACAGTGATTCCTCAACATTACTGCCACACCCATAACTTTAAATGGTTCTGCGGCTTTCTTTTGCACAGCAAGCAACGCAACGCGAGGTTGGCGTCAATCAAAACGACTTTGATTCGCCAGAAGATCTAGATACAATTTTGTTGATTGATTGATATGTGGATTTGCTACTTGTTATATTCCGTATCCTTTCTTGACCTCAAACGTCCAGGGTGATCTTTATACAAGTCTGCTCCATCCGAATTATCTGGACTCGAGTCGGATCTGCCAACAAAAGATTTTTTACAAGCTGCAAATTGTTGTTTTAGGGTATCTTTTTCTCTGATTCCGAAAGCATTTGTGTTTGTGTTTAATTACACATCATCTTCTTCTGGTTCGGCAGGACTGGCGTATGCGACAATGCCCCACGCAATCAAGGATGCCACGCCGAGTGCCGCAATCACAGGAACTGCCAAAATAGCGTTGCTGTTGATAAAAACTCCCAAGATGTCCGTCAAAAATGTGGTTGGATCCAAGGTCGTTGCCGCCACATTGGTAGTAGTTGCTGCTGCTGTGGATGTTGTGAGCATTACGTCGACTGGAGCCGCTTGGAGGGTTGACAAAGAAGGCTTGACCGAAAGAGTCTTGGTGGAAGGGCCATGGTTTGGAGCAAAGGCATCGGCCATGAATGCCACACTTGCCAACAGGCAGAGACAGAGGAAACTTCGCAAGGATGTCATTGTTACTGTTGAGAATAATCAAAAGAGAGATTGTAGACTACAAAAGAGTGGAGAGGAGGATATAACCCCCAGCTGCGGCTCTTCTTTCAAACCAGATCTGTTCGCATCATTGGAGGGAGTGGAGGTGGAATGAAGAAGAGCCAGAAGATCCAACATTGAACTGACGTCACATGGCTGCCAGAGTCCCGCGAGAATGAAGAAAGTGTTTGATCGGATCGAATTAAAAAATCAAATCGAACTGATTCAATTCGATTCAGCGATAGTGGTGACAACTCGAGCGTCACAACCACACAACAACAAACAAAAAGGACACCGGAGGTGTAATAGATATACCGGGCGAGCTGAATTAAAAGATGGGCCGGCATAATAATATTGTTAAAGTTTGGCTGAAGGTACATGTAGTGTCATTAGATTTTTCCGTCTGAGAAAGTGGCGTGGTAGCTTACGGGAGTTTAGAGGTGTGCAACATGAGACGTTAGATTTTTTCATCTGAGAAAATGGCGTGGTAGCTTACGGAAGTTTAGAGGTATGCAACGTGAGACGTAAGATTTTTCCGTTGGAGAAAGTGGCGTGGTAGCTTACGGGATTTAGAGGTGTGCAACGTGAGACGTAAGATTTTTTCATCTGAGAAAGAGGCATGGTAGCTTACAAGAGTTTAGAGGTGTGCAAGGCCAGTCATTAGATTTTTTCATATGAGAAAGTAGCGTGGTAGCTTACGGGAGTTTAGAGGTGTGCAACGTGAGTCATAAGATTTTTCCATCTGAGAAAGTGGCGTGGTAGCTTACGGGAGTTTAGAGGTGGGCATCGTGAGGAAAATATTAGGATCCGTTGCTACGTTATGATTATTATGAGAATGCGTGAGAAAGAGGGGGTTGAAGTAAATCTCTAACCCTAAGGATAACCAACCAACCAAACCCACCACCACCACAATAAACGGGGTCAGAGATCACCAGGGTCTGCCCGGTATATCAACACCAAGCTACCAAGAAGTACTGGTACCAGTACTGGTACAGCTTGTAGCTATCGGTAGCTAGATAGGGTTGATTGGGTCATCACCATGATGGACATGTCTGCCAACGACGGGTCAATTGTGGGCCTCCCAGTGGACGCCAAGAGTTCGAGCAGTGATGAAGAAGAAGAAACTCAACAACAGCAGCGAGAGCAACAGCCATCCGTTCCGGCAAACATTCAAGAACAGGAGCAAAAAGAAATCAAAGACGAGACTCGTTCTTTGGCTTTGAATGGGAACATGACAACACCTGAATTGTTGGCATCGTCACAGGAAACTAAATTGGCATTGCCAACAACAGAAAATGGAAAGGAGCCTCTAGTCATCAAGGATCCTGTACGTCCTGGTGCTGTTGCGAACGACGACGGAAAATTTGCAGATGCCGACGAAGATGAACAACCTAATATTATGACGACCATTGAGACAAGCAGTGCTCCATCGACTCCCTTGCCTCAAACAGAGCCAGAAAACTCATGCCACACGCCTTCAATGAATGTCGACCATGCGACCCCAATACTGATTCCAAGAACATCGCCAGCTATTGACGGCACGAAAGATCCTAGCACTCCGCCAACTTCAGCGTCTCCCCCTCTTCAAACTGACAAAGAACCAGTCCTCATCAATGGCACAGCAGCCAACCAGGAACAATTATCATTGGAAGAACGAGTGCAAGAATTGGAGACTAAATTGGCAACGTTGTCAAGGATGCTACAGCAACAACAACGTCTCTCGTCGAGAAACTTGCTGGTTCGATCTCCCTCTGGACAACAAAAACCACAATCCATGCTATCAGCGCCACGTTTGCCAGGAATTCCACTCATGGAAGATATTGAATTTCCACACACGCAATACAACAACAACAACAACAATGCGTCCAGCAGCAATGAAAACAGTGTTGGAACCAAATCTCCACCCGAGATTGTCACCCACGGTCCCCTCTCTTCCGCTAAAACAACACGAAAAGGACTGGTTCCGTACTTGGAATCCCCTGCTCCCATTGAAGATAGTAGAGCTCTGGGAGGAAAGTTGACCCAACACCAGCGAAAACGATTGAGTTTCTGCCTTCTCTACGATGGCAACGAAGATAATTTGAACAGAGCGGATGACGACAACCAAGTTGTCGTACGTTCCCACTTGGTTCGCAGGGATGATGACGACGACGACCATGCCAATAACCCGTACAGCGACCAGCACAATAGTCCTATCCATAGCGAGAATCTCAGCAATGGAGTAAATGGCGATGGTGTAATGACGGAAACTGAAGCATCCTCTCCTCACCCACTCCTTAAAGACAACAACAATAACTTGCAGGATGGTTCTGCCAACAACAACAATAAAAACATGCAGCAACAAAGCATATCCAATGATGGTGGTGCCATAGTCAGCAACTCTGGAGACCCGCGGCACCATGCTGGTGGTACTATGCAGAAAGACAAGACTACAGTCGCCTCTTCCAATAAGACAGGCACTCCCACAACAACCAAGAAGGAGGACTTGGCAGATGCGTCGCAAAAGTCGGTAGAATCACTCAAAAAACAGCAACAAGCACTCGGGTTTCCGACTGGTAGCAGCAGCAAGGGCACAAAGGAAGATACCACTTCACCCAAAGTGGGAGGTCGTGTCAGTAATCTTCTGCCACCCCCAAACTTGTCGAAAGATAAACGCAACAAGTGGTTGGACCATTTGAACTCGTTTCAGCAAAGCAATCATGACGTCGATCTGCAGATGCAGGAGTTTATCAAGGTTCCAGGTGCGGTCGAAAAGACACTGACATCAGGTTTCATAATCTGCCTTGATTCCTTTTTGTACGTCTGCACCATTTTGCCCATTCGATTCGTTTGGAGCTGCGTGCTCTTGTCCCTGCACTACTTTTTCAAATGGACCAAGAAACCGGCTGGAAACCTCCAGTTTCATCGAAGGTGCGTTTTATTATTGTTACTGCATTGTGGCGAGGTTCATGCGCTGACACGCTCCGCTCCCCCCGTCTGATCAATGATACGGTAGGCACACCTATCAATTGATACAGGTTGGCATCTGCCTGTTCAACTATACCTACGTCTTGCTTCCGATTAGTATCGGCAAGCTGTATCATTGGATCCGCGGACAGGCCATGATCAAGCTCTATGTCCTCATTGCAATGGTGGAAGTCTTTGACAGGCTCATGTGTTCGTTGGGACAGGACTGTCTGGATAGCTTGTACTGGAACACCACACGGAGACCCCGGAGTACTCGCATGTTCATCAGTGTTTCTGTGGTGATGGTCTACACAGCAGTTCATTCCTTGATTTTGTTCATACATGTCTGTACGCTGTCTGTGTAAGTTGCTGGTTCCATTGTGGCTTCTGCTCGTTTCTGGACACACTTGCCTAATGGTGCTGGAACTATCTATCTTTGCTTCCCAATGAAGCGCAATGAACAGCGCAGATGAGGCATTGAGTAAGTTCCCAACAGTAGTCAAATGCCGTTTGTGACCTGGATGTCTTGCCTCTCATCCTTGAATTCTTTGCAGTTGCCCTTCTCATTGGAGGGAACTTTGCAGAAATCAAATCAACAGTGTTCAAGAAATACAACAAACCCAGTCTCTTCAAGATCGTGGCAAGTGACATTTGTGAAAGGTTCAAGCTGGCTTTGTTTCTCAGCCTCGTGCTATTGCTCAATTTCTGTCAAGGAATGGACAGTCGGAAAATGAGTGATTACCAACGAATTGCCGGCCTTGTGTACATGAGTGAATTGCTATGTGACTGGCTCAAGCACGCATTCATTACCAAGTTCAACTTCATCCCAAGCACCGTCTATCCAGAGTTTAGTCTTTTGTTGGCGGGTGACGTGACAGGGATCGGGTAAGCAACAAGCTTGGAAGGAAGGAAAAGATCGAAATTTCCTCTTTTAAAAGAAGAATAAGAGCATCACGCATCTCATCACCATGTCCCATCCTCTCCATTTCCTTTTGATTACTTGATCACAGGCACGAAGGTGTCAATCTTGACGTCAGCCACGCTGTGGTAAAAAGGATTGGGTTTGCTCAGATGCCCTTGGTCTGTGTCATGGCAAGGCTCGTCACCGAGGCTGCCAAGTATATGTCCATGCGAACTGATAGCAATGCTGTACCGTCTTTTGTAATTGTACTCGGTGCTGTCGTTGCCTGGATCATTTTGTTGGTTCTGAAGACATGCTTGGGTGCATATCTACAACGAACGTCCCTCGCCAAGCTCCATGCTGCACCCGAGCTGTCACAGACACCGCTGAAAGTCAAACAAAAATAGCCGAAGCTGAGTTATTTGGGTGTGCGTTGATCCTTTTGATGGGACTGTAGATTTCAACTACTAGCTAGAGTCCGCTCATCCTCGTACGATCCCCGGCAGAACGTTGCGTCATACACTCCCTTCCAGCTACCTACTCTAGCTAGTTGAGGTCTAGAGTAGCACGGCATCAGAATGGTCAAAAGCAGTAGGAGATTTGTGTAGCTTTAGATTTGTGTAGCTTTATATCGGTTAAAAGCACCGAAGAGAAAAATTCTACCTCCAAAGCATGAAAAGAGAGGCAAGAATCCAAAAATTGAAAACAAAAAATCAGGTTGGGACAGAAAAGGATGGAAAATGTGTGGGCAGCTCGGTAAACTGAGCGAAACCGCTTCAAGGATGCGGAGCAGCACACCGAAAATGGAAAATTAGGGTCTCTTGAGAAAAGAACCACTGGGTGAAACAGTGTGGACGCTTCCGAGATCTGGCTCGAAGTCAGACGAAAAGGGTGCAGAAAGCTAATAGCTATCGCTGACCACGTTAGAACGTGGTGAGTCAGGCACTTCAGAAGCAACGGAAATCCTTCTTTGGGTCTGCACCGATGCCGCGGCATCGAAAGAGGCCCGTAGTGGATCCATTCGATTCCTACTTGGTGCCGCCATGGGCTGAGAGAAACCAAGCGAAGTCGGAGGTTTTGTCGGTGCGCCAGAGGACGAATAAGTGTTCAAGTTTGGGGCATCCATCACATGACATTGATGCTGCATAGCACTCGCCGTTGAAGTCATCGAAGAGCGGCGATCCCCGGACACCCCCGATGCCGCCGTGTTGGGACTTGCTGCGCCCTTGAGAAAGCGCCAATCTTTCACTAACAAGTTGGCCAACTCAGATCCATTGCGGCGGTTGCCATTGGAGTATCCGCGGAAGCTGTTTCTCAGGACATCAATCAGCTCATTGTCGACAGTGGAACGGCGACTTCGAGGGCGCAGGAGCAACAGACGCAGTTGCATGAACTCGTTGAGAAAGTCAGCTGATCCTGTGGAGGATCCTGATGGTTCTCCAACCGACGAAGGTAACTGTGAGAGCGGCATGTACTCCCCGAGAAGAGTTGCAATACGCTGCTCGTCTTCAACTACCTTCGAATCAGAAGCTGTGGCGCCGGACATGCTTTCGTCAGCAGTGGGGGCAAGCGCTACATTTGACGAGCTGGACAATCCGGCCTGTCCGAAGTCGTCCATATCAAATCCACTGAAATCGATGCTGGCATCATTCACGGCAGCATCGATGGACGGTGCAGGGCCAGCCTGGCAGGGTACAATTCCCTTTCCCCCCATTTCCACCACGAGGCGCCACTTCGGTTCAGGTGAGTACTTGGAGAATGCCTGAACACACTTCTCTATGACTGCTTCGTTGCGTTGTATGTCTGCCATGGTGTACATTGCTACAACGAGTTTTCCAATGCTTGAAGTCAAGGGAATTCCAAGCACTGTCTTCACACCGTAGATCCTTGCACCCCCCGCCCTTTCAAAAAACTTTGGATCGGCCTGATGCACGCGCGTTGACCAGCTGGGCTGACCGCTCTCAAAGACACGGCCTGGCAATCCTACGCCAGGAGCGAATGAGAACTTTTTGCTGTATTCTCCAAACTCATTGAATTGGGCTGCGATTATCGGGGCCACATCATGGCGGGTCGCATAGCCTGCGTGATACAGGCGAAGTTGATCTTCCTCGGTTTTTGCTTCGCTGGTATCTTGGTTCCCTTCCTTCTTCTCCGACAGGAACGAAGGCACCCACACATCCACATGACCAAAGGGAAGATGGTTCTTTTCCAGGAACGTAACTAGTTCTTGCAAGAACGGGCCGTGTTCAAACGCCTTGCACTCTTTCGATGATTGAGGATCCGATGAGGTAGAAGAGGGCTCAAACAAATCGTCGAGGTTTCCCTGCTCCAAGTCCATGCTCAAGAGACGGTTGCGCTTGCCATCAGGTCCTGGCTGCGAGGAGAGCTCCAACATATGGGCAATAAAGTCAGCGTCGCTGGCCTCCTCACTGGAAACCGAATGCTTTTCGTTTTCAAACATATCTTTGCTGATTGTAGCAGGTGGGATGACTGTTGCCGCCGAGATCGTGTTGGGGATGCTTTGAGGAGCTCTTGGAGGGATGATCGTGTTTTCTCGCCCTTGGACCGGTCTGTTGGCAAAGAACACACCGGGATTGGGTGTCCTGACATCAGTCTTCAGAGCCAATCCCATGCGCTTGCGGCGAGCCTTTCGAATCATCTCCTCGGCTTGTGAGGCACGGCGCTCCATGTCTTCCAAACTGCTGACCCAGTCTGACGCATCAAGCAATTGGTAACCAACCTGAAGGCACAAGTTGGAAAAGTGGGTCCTCCAGAGCTTCGTAAGGTTGAAGAGGACTTCCAATTGGGTGGATTCGTTGGACAAGGACTGGACGAACTTGTCCTGAAGTCTCGACATGACAACGGTGTCGAGCAACTCTGCGCCTGGCATGGGAGGTCGTAGCGCGTACGAGCGAGTGCTCAAGCGCGCGTTCTTCATCTTCTTGGTCAGACGGCTGGACTTGCACAAGAGCACTTCTCCTAGGAACTCGTTGAGTTTGATTCCATGAGGCAGGTTCAGCATTCCACGGTCAAAGGTGTTGAGCAAAAGGTCGACGTATCCAATCTCCTCTGCCGTCCAACGTCCCGTGCGATGCAGATCAGTCTCCATCGACATGGTGCTGGTCAGAGACGACCTCGTATGAGACAGCAGCAAGTACGAAGACTCTGCCTGGACTTCATGAAAGCCACTGTCCAGCTCCCGTTGTCTCTTTCCATTGGCATTGGTGCTGTTCGAACTGCTGGCTCTCGCAGCAGCTCTGGCAACCTTCTTTCTGAGTTCCACGGCACGGTCCAGCACGTTCAGCGAGAGAGGGAACAGGTACATCCCACCAACAATCCCTGACTTGCAGACGGGACAAGGGATGTTGGTGGATTGCATGGGAGGCGGGACTCCTTCCTGCAAGGGCTGCAGAGGGTTTCCTTCTCCGATGATCAAGCAAAGAGGAACACATCTCTGTTGCACAAAGATCGCAAGAAGAAGAACAGCAACACAAAAAGGTGAGACATGTTGGAGGCAATCAGATACAACAATGTTTTAGAGAACAACAAAAAGCCTTCGTGAAATCGGAAGTTGGGCCTTGAAAAAGTCATAAAGACTAAGGAGCTCTTGTCCCTTAAACACAAAGCGTTTTCTGGCCTTAAACCACAGTTTGGTTCCTTTCCCCCGAACAGAATTTACTTCGGTTCCGGAGGATACAACGGAAGCCAAGCATCGACAATCGACACCCCTTTTCGAACTCTAGCTGACGAGATTGCAGGCAACCATCCAACCAAGGCAATGGCGACGGGAACGTACCGCATGGAGAGTGCATCCGCATCCTTTGAACTGAACATCACTGCCTCGATGTTGGCACAGTCGGCAGACCAATCTCTCCTGGTCGACTACTCCCGGTGCAGCACTCATTTTTTTGGCTTGGGTCAACAAAAAAGTATTCGATTTCTGTTGTGGATATCGAAAGAAAGGTGGTGTGGTAACCCGTCGTCTGTGGCGTGGGAAAGCTAGCGAGAAGTGATGGGTAAAGCTCCGAACAGGCAATCTCCTACTGATGTCTTTCGCTTGATCGTCCAACAGTCAGGGCAGGAGGAGGGTAGAGTTGCCTGTCGTCAGAGAGTGAGTTGGTTGATGTAGCCTTTACAAGCCTCCGTTTTTGCTTGTTTTGTGTTGTGTGAGCCTGTTGTGTGTCTGTCCAATCTGTTGGCTATTCTTTGCAGCTTCCCCGCTCAATCCATCTTCCACCCACCAAAGCGAAGATGTGTTCGAGTGGATGCGCATCGATTGCGCGGTCAGCAGAGGTCTTGCATCGGGGTTTCCAGGGACGGACCAGCTTGTGGACTGGCCAAAAAATCTTGACATATTTAGCCAGCTACCGCAGCACAGCCGTCATATACCCCGAGTACCTGGTAGCCCGGTAGTACGGTACCTTACCGGTACAGAATGTACGGTAGCTGGCTACCAGCAAGAGTAGCTAGCTCTAGCTAGTAAGCCTTTCTAAAAAGGATTTTTCTTCAACGTTAAGTACTGTTACTTCGCAAAGGTAACTGCCCCACCCACCACATGCTAAAAGTGCACTTCTAAAAAGGACACTCCTGTACTTTGTACTTAACTCATTCCGCCAGATAGAGAAGCAACTTGTGGGGCAATGCGACAGATTAAAAAGACCCAAGTGCCGATGGAGCTCCGGAAGCTTCTATCAAATTTACAGGACCTGGAGTAAGAATTCTGATCGAAATTCGTTGCGTCATCAGATTCTGGGTTTGATTGGAGGGTTAGCGGCGTGTCACCTGTGGTGACAGTGGCTTAGCAACTGCTCTGGCTTATTAATCTCTACCGTCGAGGGGGAGCAACAGACCGACATTTGATTTGGCAGAGAGGATACCAGCCGACGACCGCCTCCTACCTGCATCCCAAAGAACGTATTGATACTGTACCACTTTCTTAGGAGATCTCTGTATCCGCAGTAACGACGATGACAGGCACTGATTCGTCTCTGGTAGTGGCATCCCGGGCTCTCTGGGATGCTCGTCCTACAACGGGCAAGAGATCCGAACAATTCCTGGCAAATGCGTTGGGATATCCAAGAAGTTGGAGAGTGGTCCGACGACTCGTTGAAACCGCCACAACAAGAGATGAAGCAGGAGGAGACAATGAGAAGGAAGAGTCACCATGCTTGATGATTGTGGATCGTATTTACGCAGGTACTCCTCAAGATGGTGTGGATACGTACTTGAATCATGCCGCCGCACAACAGGCCGCAAGTGAATGGGAAGAGGGCGTGTCCACAGGATTCCAAGCCAGGGGAGGTCAACTGTTGCCTCGCAAACCCAAATTCCAAAAAGGAGATCATATCAAGGTGCTCTACGATGGTGTTTGGTGTTTGGCCACAGTCAAGAAACGAATTGAAAAGAAGGGCGATGGCTCTTTTCGATACACAGTTTACTACCCCGAAGATGGAACCACGCAACATCAAGTTCCCGAAGAAAGCATTGCACTGCAAGACAAATCAGACAAAAACGATGCTGATGAGGCGGCTAGTAGTAATGAAGATGCCCATGCACTGGCACAAGAAATGGGATTTGGACCAGATTGGAAAGCCAAACAGCAAATCACTGGGAAAAAGAAAAAGAGCAAAAAATGGACTTTTATCAGTCCGGATGGAAAAACTTTTCATACCAAAACAGCCGCTATGAAACACAAGACCGAACTGGAACAAAAGGACAATAATCCAGAGTCAGAAACAACCACAGGCAGGAGGGCCACAAGGAATAAAGGCAAGAACAAGAACGACGACCAAAAAATCGAAGATGAAGGCGATCCTCCATGGAGAACTCATGGACACTCCTATATTGGACGCCGTGTCATGATCACTACAGAGCACAAAAAATCGGCCAGGCGCAAAATACAGGTGGAGCAAGTTGGCACAGTGCTTGGATTTATTGCCGATACCGATGTCGACAAACATGGAAATCCAGGCTTTATTTCCGATCGAACCAATGACCCGGCCAATCTGTTTCATGTTGTATTCGATGATGAGCCATCTCATCCATACTTCCCACTGCTGGTGGAAAGTCAAGACTTGGAAGAATATGAATTAGAAATGGTATTGCTGCCAGAAGAGGAAGCCCCAGCAGCAGCTGCTGCCGCGCCTGGAAACGAGCAAGCCACAGCGAAACAACCAGCCAAGGGGGAGTAGAGTCTAGTCACAGTAATTTGTTGGATCGACAAAACCATGAACTCGAGACCTGCCTTTTAGGTTTAGTAGAAATTGCTGTATGCACTAGTTTGAGCTTGCAATGCTGTTTCTGTTCTACAGCGTCCTGTACTACCGGTGGCAGTACAATGTACCTTTGAGATTCTGTACCACTGCAGGACATCTGATCATTGGATTCGGTAGCAGCAGCAATGCCACCAGACTCTACCTTGGTAGGGTATAAATACATGTCACGTAGAGACCAACCCTCCTCGTTCTACGAGCCCCTTCAACTCATCATTTTGGGGAGTGCAAGGAAACACTGTGCGATGACCAAAGTGCTACCCAGTACTGGTACCGATACCATTGTGGAATCGAATGATGAATCAAAAGCGACTCTTGGGCCTTTGGTGTTTTGTCGACCCACAAAGGTGATCTGGCTGACAATATCTACCGGCAATGGTGCAAGCGACAAGACAAGAAAATGGGCACCCTGCTTTTTCTATTGTGTTCAAGCACAAGTGCTAAAGAAATAGCAGACGTTCACAAGGTTCTTCGTACGAAAATTCGCACACAGACGAATGAATTATGGTTGGCTGGATCACATTGTAACACAGTTGTGCGAATGGATAATTGCTTTTCGCTCCTTCAATGCTGATAGTCCCACCGTACCGTATCATAACATGGAAGTTGAGGTACCGGTACGAACCTTGATCAAAGACTGGCCAAGTGCATCCAACTCTGGTCAAAGTCAGACGAAATCTAGTTTGATCAAGACGCCCTGACCATCATGTTACGTTCAACACGCCGGATTGTTCTGGTGATATTGATGCAGAAAATGACAACAACACATGCCAGATGACCCTACTACCACTTTACTCAATTTGCTAACAAGAAATCCAAGAAATCGAGCGACGCCGTTGCTTCCACTGCAGCTGTTACAAGTAGCCAGCCCACCGCCGCCGTTTGTTGCTAGTCTGCCTCTTGCTCTACCAGTACCGGTACTAGAGCTAGTAATATATTCCATGGGTACTGGTACTGGTACCCTTTGTAGTGGTACTGGTACCACTCAGTGATGAAGCGCCTGACGATTTGCTTTTGTACCGTAAGCGTAAGAGGACTGTGCTGCTGCTAAGTTTTTTAAAGTAATTAGAGTTTCCAACCGTCCGCCGATTTAATGGCGCGTAGGTTAGAAATGTGAGGCGAGATTTGCCCTCCTAAACAAGAGCCAGCGCGTTGGATTTGTGGCGATGCGTACAAGCACACTTAGACCGAACCACTCCACCCAACCGTCTAATTACCATATGGATTTGGTACCACCATTCCCACAAAACCATTTGGTTTCGAAAGAGTGGTTCGAGGTGAAGGGAAGGGACCACAATGGTCGACATGTTTGAGTTACCGACGAAGGGTACGGGCTGCTGCAACAACGGCGGTGATCCCAATACTATTAGTGATTCAGAGCACGATGCCATATCAGCAGAGATCGGGAGCATTATTAAAGGATTCGCTCTTCCCGATGATTCCAGCGTCGACATCCTAAACGCCGACAAACCGGGAGAAGTTACAACGGAGACGCCCACACCGCTCTACAATTTCATACAAAAGCAGAAATGGGAAAGTGTTGTTACCTTCTTGGAAACTGGCAAGTTCACAGATTTTGGATTTTTTGGGTTGGGAGCCAACGGCCCGGACAGCCCGGACCAAGGGAAGCAGGCTGCAACATGGGTAACAACCAAGGACTGGTGGGGGACGATCACTTCCCAACGACTGCCCATCCATTTTGCCATTATTCAGGGGGCACCCATGAAAGTCGCCTACAAGCTACTGGCTGCGAACCCAAATGGAATCCGGTCTACGGATGCGGACGGAAATCTACCTCTGCATCTTTCTTTCAAGCATAAAGCAGCTGAGGATGTCATAGCCTTTTTGTTGAAAGCGTTTCCCGAGGCCGTAAGTGTCAAGAACAACGATGGCCAAAGGCCCGTGGACTTTGCCGAGGTTGATGCCGGAGATATTATCCAAATGTGCGTGGATCAAACTAACCGAGAGGGAAAGAAGGAAGAAGCGAGACTTTGCAAAGCCTTGGAGTCCGAAAAGAACCGTCTCCAAGAAATCTTGGATCAGTTGTCTGAGATACGAGGTGAACTGGATCATCTCCGAAAACTCAAGACAGACAGTATGGACATCTTGGCACGCGACAACAAGAAGAAAGTACCAGAGAAGTTTGTGAATACAGACATGGCCTCTGGAACTGGTGTAGAAGTTGTCACTACATCGCAGCAGAAGAAGAAGGGGGTGATCAATGGAAAGTTCAAGCTGAAGTGGATGCGCAAGAGGGTAGACGCTAATGATGTTCGTGCTGAATAAAAGAAAAGCAGGGGCTATGGGAGCCTCGATCGAGAAGCGTATGGCGACCAGCAGAAAGACAAATAATACAATGCCCGCTTTCGTTTCACAAACTAGTCCAGGAATGACATGGCATAAGTTTCATAAATCAACATTTGTTTTAGTACAATGATAAGTTTTCTACATGTACGCTGCCTCTGCCGTAAATTAGTATGCAGTATTGTGATGTGCTTCCTCGTACCGTATCACCAGGAACGTTGAAAAAGGAACTGCAATGTCCACGAAGAGAATAGATTGGCTCATTGCGTGCCATCCACTGGACAGGAGGTTGGAAAAAGATTGGCCAATAGTACCGGTAGGTGCAGCACGTTTTGACAAGAGCGGTACGTACCGGTACATCCAACAAAACCCTTTTGAGTACCTTCTATGATATTCGCTTGAATTCAGAAGCTCGACGTGTATTTCTGTGCCTGAGAATTCATGCTCTAGTAGCTATGAGCATGCCAAAGACACATTTCATAGCCCAAGGTGGTGGTACGAGGGAGGGTAAAGCCTCTCCTGCACTGACAAAACAACACACACTGAAGAAAATCTGCTACTACCAGGTAGCTAGTCCTCGCTCTCATCTCTACTAACCTTAGCTCAACTCATCGCTACAACTACCCTCAAAACGATTGCTCATATGATTATTGAAAATCTGGCTACACTGGAGTTCATGATCGGCTTCGCCCTCGGGGCCATTTGGATCAACGTAGTGGAAGTGCCACAACGTTGCCCCAAGATTGATGCTGACAAAGGATATATTGCTTTCAAAACTACCAGCTGCATCAAGCACATGTTGTCCGTCCTCCCAATGCTCCCAGTTGTGTGCTATGGCTGGGAGCATACCGTACCGATACTTCTGAAACGTTCCACTGCATGTTTCACTTTGGAACCTTGTCTGATGTGGGCCTTGACATCTACGGTGCCATGGAAAGCACTGAGTGAACCTTTGTCAAGACTGATCCATCACCTACTCGGTGTGCCGCTTCGCTGTTGCAATACACCATTCACTGACTGACACTTTCACTAGGCATACCAATGAATCTCAAGTACATCCATCTTACCGAATATCAAGAAGCTGTGGCATCTTTTGGTATGATACAGAAGACTACATGGGACATGATCCAGCACAAAGCAATTGTTGTTGCTCAGCTATTGATCATTGTACACCAGAGTGTATCTCTGGTTCCCAACTTGGAGATACGATGTTTGTATATGGAGATGGTTTGATGGCCTATCTCTTTACACTCATGATTGTTGTTATGGTTGTGGACGGTGTCCAGGATGTGACAAAGTGGTTGCCCAAGAAAATGCCAAGCAGCCATGATGCAAAGAAGAACAGTGACGAAGCTATAGGTATTTCAAAAGCAAGCGAAGAAGACTCCAAGTGTGACAATGCTCTCAAGATATACTCTCGCAACAGAGATACTGCCAGCCTCGTCAATTAGGAAATATCCTAGCATCGTGACTTGATCCCTACCATACGGAGTTGAGAACAAGAAAATGAATGTTTAGCAATTCACAAACGTTTGCTCGCACCCCTAAGCAAATTTCTGAACGAGAACGGCAGTGGCTCCTGTTGCTCCACAGTCAACGTTAGTGGACAGCGCAGGTATGGTACCAGTGCTAGCGTTTCAGGAAGCCCCCCCCCTGCATGACACACCGTATCCTCTTCATTTGCGTACATCCAATATGCATGTTTATGTACAGGACACAACAAGTTGTGCCCGAATCAAATTCTTGTCAAGTAGCTAGTCAGCACCCATTCACATTCTGCTGTTTGGGCAGTTTTTTACTCTTTAGATTCTGGCTGTTCTTCTTCTTCATCATCATCAGCCTTTTCCTCCTTATTGTCCTCATCGTCTTCCTCCAGTAGAAACCAAGGCGCTGTTCCGGCCTCTTCTGGATCCACACCTAACCGCTTGCCCTGCCACTGCCCCAAAACGGATGCCGGTGTCAAGTAAGTCCATCCGCGGACGGTACCTTGAACAAAGTAATAATCGTCCACTACACCGGCCCAAATCTGCTTTCCCCAAATAAAATTCTTGGAAATGGCCAAGAACTGGGAAGCAGCATCAAGAGACCAAGTTCCTTCGGAATTGTCTCCCCAGACAGCCAGATTCTTGTCTCCCTTTACAGCTAGCCGAACCCAGGTCTCCTTAATTTGGTTGTTATTGGAATCCCAACAAGTTCCAACCATCCACTCGCTTCCGAGAAAGTCGGCTTCTGTCAAATCATCATATTCAATGAATTCGAATTCGTCATCGTCGTCCTCTTCGTCGTCGTCTGCTTCGCTGCTGACAGCCTTGGGGGTAACTTCGGAATCTTTTTTGCTGGAGGTAGCTTCGGAATCTGATTTGCTGGTTGTCGTGTCGTCGTTGACTTTCTCTGATGCCTTTTCTTTTTCATCATTACTAGTTTTCGTCGTTGAAAACAAACATGACGGTGTTTGCCATTGCTGTGCTGCGATCACCGACCGAGATGGAGTTGATGGCAACACCCACCCGACAGAGATACCAAGGAGCCAACTGCCCAGAAAAATAGCAAAGATATACCGTATTGAATGCATAGTTGTATTCTATCTTCTGAGCTAGGGGCAACAAAAGGGAACCGGGGCCAAGGAATTATCGGGCTGAAGAGGCTAATACTTGCTTGGAATCTTCGTTGTGGTCAACAGCGATGGGGTGCCATGGGACGTTTTGATGGATGCGAGACTTCAACAGTCTTTGCTTTTCGATGGCGCTGACGTCCAACGTCACACATGTTCCACGTGGAGTCGAGTCCAGTCCTTTCTGGCAACACGGTCACCGTGGACACTAGTACTACTAGCTAGTAGCTAGTAACTCAATCAAAGGGTCGATGGGTGCTGCGGTACAAATACTGCACCCTGCTATGCACCACTAAGCAGCCTCGGAACTCCTATGTCAAGTTTATCTATTAGTGCAGTAGCTGGCAAAAGGGGCGGACTGAATGTCGAGAGAGCTATGAACAGGGAGCTACTTTCTTGGGCAAAAATATTTCTATTAATTAAAATGGGTTTCCTCGCCTGCGCCTTCGCTAACACAAAGAGTCATAGCATGTTACATTTTGCATTAAAAATAAAATAGATTGTCCATTGCAGCTATCACCAGTTTGTTTTTGTTGTTGTTTGACTGCGGCGGCAGTGTCGTTTTTAAATCTCTATCATATCCGCCAAACTTTCTGGATCAGCTGTAGCCTGCGCAATCATTTCCTGGCCATCCATAGAAAAGTGATCCTCAATAGCTGCCAGGACTTCCAAAGATCGCTGGTCACCAATAAGATTGATTGCTGTTCCCTCCTTCCAAAGCGTCCTGTTCGCCCAATACGATGTAAATATGTCTCGAAATCTGGCATTTGATCCTTGTCCACAGGGACATCATAATTCACAACCAAACAGACATTGTCTACATCCACTCCACGAGCCAAAACGTTGGTTGTAATGAGTACATTGGATTCACCGTTTCGGAAGGCAAGCATAGTGGCGTCACGTTCTGCCCCGTCCACGCCTCCATGCAAAACAGAGCACGTGTACCCAGAATCCGACAAGGTTTGATGCACAGTGTCAGCGTCACGTTTTGTTCCAACAAAGACAATGCTCTGCCCGATAGTAAGGAGTGAATAAATATCTGCCAAGAATTCCAATTTTCCTCCGTTGTAATCTCTCGTGTCCACCCACAGCTGTTTGATGACATCCACAACCTATCGCAAGCATTATAAGGGGGGGGGACAAAGTTTGTGAGATCAGCGCCCAAGTTTTCCGCCTCTTGCGGTGATGGTTGCCATCGTGTACTTACCAAAAACTCGTCACCTTCTTCAATCAAAATTCTATCCGGATTATCGACCATCTTTCCAGCAAATGCAACAACCTCCGGTGGAAAGGTGGCACTGAAGAAAAGACTCTGGCACTTCTTGTGCAAATTCTTCTTAATGAGCAACGAGTTGGCACGATGTCCTCCCTCCTCAATCATAGAATCCGCTTCGTCCAAAACAAACACTTTGATAGTCTTGGCGTTGAAGAGTCGACGTTTCATCCAATCCACGACCTTTCCTGGTGTACCAATGATGATGTGTGCATCACACTTTTGTCCCTTTTCGAAATGAGTGCCAGCCACAGCCAGCTGCACTTTCAAGCCAGCCATATTGGCCGCCATTGGCTTGACTGCCTTTTCGAAAATCTGAATGGCTAATTCTCGTGTGGGGGTAACACAAAGCGCCTGAGTTGATGCGGGTGCATCCACGTCAATACGGTAGAGCATTCCAAGAGTAAAAGCAGCAGTTTTTCCACTACCAGATTGGGCTTGACCAATCACATTTCGTGGGGGATCTGCCAAAATTCGAGGCAACGCTTCCTCTTGAATAGCAGAGGGCCGATCAAAGCCCATGGTGAAAATGGCATCCAGCAAGTGTTTGGGTAAATTGAGGTCTTGAAACGTCTTGACTGAAGACAGATGCGAATTGGTGTCCGACTGAATAACCTTGAGTCGATCGCCCTTGTTTTGTTTTTGTCGCTCTAGAGCCAGCTTTTGCAGACGTTTCGTTAATTCGTCGCTTTCATTGGTACTTGCGACGCTGGGTCTGGCCGCCCTGAGAGAGCTGCGTCTTGGCTCTGCGTCTCCGACAGTTATAGATGTCCGTTGGCTTGGTGAACCAGCAGAGGCGCCATTGCCTTCTCCTTCAGCTGCTTCTGCGTCGTCCTTCTCTTCTCGCTTGACCTTGTTGATCACGTTGTCAGCCTTGAAGAGCAGCGCTGCGGCCTGATTACGAATCTTCTCTCGAAGGCGTGCCTTGACTTCATCTGCATCCTCAGCCATTATTGATCAATATTAATTGCCACCGGTATTGAGTGCTATTTGATTGAGTTTATTGTTGCTTTCTGTGATTGCTATTCACAAGCCCGACACAGCAATCTCTATTATTGAAAGCAAGTTTGGATGCCTTGATGGATAGTGTCTTCGTGCTACCGGTATGATACCTCTTCCGATTGATTGAGACTTGCAGCAGTTGTAACGGGTGGCCAAAAGCAGACCGAGGGCGAAGGAAACGAGGACGGAGAGGCGCTCTTTCCTCGCTGGATGACGTCTTCCTTTTCAAAGCTGTTCTTTATTGGAAAGTAGCCCGGCTTGCAGTGTACATTAAATCTCTGATTGAGTATCCTGAGCTACTCTAAGTCTGATTCTCCAGACCTCTTCCAGGGCCAGCTGGGCCAAGCCATGGCAACGGTTCGCTGGAGCGATGGAGGGATGCGGATGGCAATCGGAGTAGAGCTATAAGGTAGCTGATGAGATCCTGGAGGCTAAAACCATCCAGCCAGAGCATAGAAAAGATACGGCACGTACTAGTAGGACTCGACTCGGCGGACACTTGGAGCTGGCAAACTTTCAGCAAGTACTTTGGTATGGTTGTAAAAAGGGGCGGACTGGTGGTGGGCGAGGCGCAGGCATAGAGCACCTTGGAGGCAGCTGCGGCCAACATGGCAGCAGGAAGTCTCTAGCTAGCTAGATGACCCAACATCAAAACCTACAAGTGGACCAACTCCAGGGGCTACGGTACAGGGCAACTCGCCCAACTCTCCCCGGGCCCCAGTCCTGGATCAACCCTGAACCTGGACCAACAATGTTTCCTACCCCCGATGTACGGCAACACCAGCCGAGGCACATGGCCTCTATGTAGTACAGTGCGTCGTAAATGGCACTTGTGAAAATCCCTTCTAAAGAATATTATTACGGAAAGATGAGGCTTTACCGCATGACCTCATGATTGGAGACTGGAGACCCTTTGGCCCGGACGCGGATTTGAGGGAACATGGCTGGCTACCAGTACATGTTAGCTCGGTTTCGTCCTGATCTATTGTGTCTCTTACGCACACTGTTTGCTGAATCGAATCAAACAGAGATTGCCCGTGGAACAAATAATTTTATTGAAATAGAACGTATCGGTACATGTACGAGTACGGTACAAAAGCGATTAACCCCGGAACGGGTATTTAAGTATAAGCCAGCAAGCCTGAGCTGAATACTCCCTAACACTACTGTAAAATCAGCCATGCCGGTACCGGTAACCGTTGCAGCCCGGAACATTCCAAGCACAATCACAAATAAATCAACACAGAAGGCGATTCGATTCAGGAACAAAAGACCGTCATCAGACTTCGCAACGAGCCGCAACTACAGCAACTCATTGGCACTCTCCTCTTGGTACAACCTTCTTGACAAAGAGGGTATAACAATGATCATTCGGATACGTGGCTTCATCACTGTGGACTAAAGAATATCTGCTTATTGTTGTGCATAGTAGTACCGTACGGTAGCAGCAAGGGAGCAACAACGCACCCATCGAACAGCACAAACAACAAAAAGAAAACAAGAAGCCTTCATCCGCTGGGTGTCATTTCGGGGTTCTTGTAAGTTTCAATTGGAAGATTTAAGAGCAGTCCCGTGGATGAGCTGTTTGAATTTGTAGGGAATGGAATCTTTTCTGGGGTGGACATTGGCCCCCTGTGATGTGAACTGTTTTTGTTTGCTCTGTGGACACCCTGTTTGTTGTTGTTGTTCCCCAAGTGTGGAGATTCTTTTTGTTCTTTGCTGTATGCGGGTAGGGCCATTTGGCTGACGTACCGAAAGCGCCGTTCGTGTTCGCCCGAAGTTTGATGGGTGTTTTCTTTTTCGCCGGTGAGCACCATGGCACACCAGATTGCGTTCCGGTTCGCTCATACCATTGTTGTATTGATTGTACCTGTCTCAGTTTCAGAACGACATAACACAAAAACAAAGAAAGAGCTAGTCTACTAGATTTCAACATGAAGTACTTGGAAGATGAAAAGCTGACCAAGCTCACGTCGGAGTTGACCGATGCGACTTTGGGTCGATCGCGCTCGATTCATGGTCGCATTGAGGCCTACATTATGAAGCGTGCGGGGACTGACAAGAAGTACGCTCATGCCCTGGGAAGAAGCTTTGTGGCAGAAATGGAGAGTGTGGAAAACCAATTGGCGGACTACAAGGTCTTTATGGAGAGACACATCAAGGCCGACAATAACAAGAAGGAAGCGACCAAGTCTCGTGGAAAGGGACGGAAACGAAGCGTGTCGGTGGGGTCTTCCGTCGAAGCTCGTCCCAAGAAGCAGCAGCGGCGTCGACGTTCCAGTAGTTACGACGACACCATGAACAAGATTGCTTCGGCGGCACCAGCGTCCACGGTGACAACAACGACGACAACCACCACCACAACGGCTCCAAAGCCTCTCGGCGATTTTGGAGAAATTGGAACCAGACGTCTCATGACGGACTTGATCTTGACACTCAATGCTAGTTTCCCGGACTACGACTTTGCTAGCATTCGTCCCAGTGACTTTGAAAAGATCCAGGTGAACACTGCCATCAAACGGATCAACGAACGCTTGTCGGAACTGGCAGCGGAAAAGGGAGCCTTCCTCCAGGACATGTGGGCATCCATGGACGACGTGGTGGGACTCTCCGACTGTGATGTCTACTCGTATGCGCCCAAGGCAAGGGACGAAGACGACGACCCTCTCAGTTTCTTGACGCAAACTTTGATTGAAGATGCGGTCGTTGTGGACCCTGACGATGGTCTCAATGACCTTCACCACGACAACAACTCGGCTCCTTCCAGTTCTTCTAGCACTGTGCTCTGGAGTTTCAATTTCTTCTTTGTCAACAAGTCACAAAAGCGAATCGTATTCTTCACATGTGTGGAGCGAATGCGAAATGAAGGATCGTTGCTTCAGCAGGAAGACCTTCTTGATGATGAGGTCGATTATGTGAGATTCCATGGTACCGAAGCTTCTGATGTGGATTTTGACATGGATCCATCGGCTCACATTGCTGGTGGAATTCCCATTCCCATCATGTGAGCATCCACAACGTCTAGGCTCGATCGAGTACGGTACGGCTGTACTATCTATCTACCGTATGCATGGATGGATTACGTTTGATTTGAATTTGAGTTGCATGTATTGCAAGAGGGAGCTGTGGGGCGGGCGGGACCTGATGAGATGCCACGGTAGTGTTGCATGTCGAATGTGCCAACAGATCAAGAAACGGGGAGAACCAACAATAGCGGCAACGACTGCACACGAGCACACTACTCTGCAATTTTCTATAGAAATCGATTTTTACTTTTTGTCAAGTGTGCCTGCGCGAATATTTTTGATGTGCCCATCACTTACTTGTGTTGTACCGGTAGCGTACCGGTACCGTTAGTAGTGCAAGGCGACGGAGCACGGCAAAGTTGTTTCAACAAGCAGAACGTTTTGCTTTTCGTACTCTTCCCGTCCTCAACTTGATGCTCCGTTTTCCGAATCTTCTTTGACAAGCTTCCATTCAACTTCCACCGCAAACATGTTGTCATGCAGTACGCATGGCTAGCTACTGCATCATGTCTCGCTGTCTTGAAGCTCTGGTGTAGCTTTCTACCAGTGTGGGTAGGAAGTGCAAGTATGGCCATACTGTAGTTTGCTTACACGCCCATCCTTCCAGAGCTTTCCCCCCACATTCCCCGTGCTACCTGGAACGGAAACAACTCCAAAGCAACGGATCAAGCAAAACCGAAAGAGCGATGATTTCTCTCTCTCTGGAATCGAATCGAATCGAATCCCGTTGTTACTAGTAACGAGCTGACTATTCTATCACCCAATGCTTCATCAGCATACCGGTATGAACCGGTACGGCCTTTACAGACAGGCAGGCACAAGTCAAAATCACGAATTCATTTATAAGTGTGTTAGTGTATAAGTATAATGATTAGTAATCGTTCAAGGCGATGAAACTGAGACTGTGCAAAAAACACCAATATCGAACCAAATGGAACCCTTCCAGTCTGGCCGTTCTGCTGCTGCGGTTGGGCAGCAGCAAACGTGGGAAAAGAAAGCTGGTTAGGTTCACTCCTAGTCCTCCTCATCATCGTCAGTGCATTCGCTAACGGAATGTTGCACCATTGCTCTCTTGAAGTCGGATTCTGAGGCTTCGTCCGATGGGTTGAAGTTCAGAGAACCACCGTCTGACACTGACAAAGACTTGACTTGACTATCGCACAACGATTTGGTTCGAGACAATTCCAGGGCTCGAAGGGCATCTTCAAGGCACTTTTGGGGATCCTCGTCGTCCGAGGATGATGTATTGAGTACCTGTTCGAGAGTAATCTTCTTCGGCGCAGACCTGCCGGCATCGGACGCAGATGCAGCAACACACTCCATAATACTGTTAACCATGTCGTCACTTTCTTCGCTGGGGACCTGTTGAGGCATGCCGTACATAACTTGACTCATCACTTCCTGCATTTCTTCCGTCAACGAGTTCGAGAAAGGGATGTCATCGTCCGAGATTTCTGATTCCGGAGCGCTCTTCTTCTTTAGTTCAGCAAGCTTTTCCAAGATCTCTTGGTGCTGCTGAGCGCTTCGTTCCATTTCCGCTTCCTGCTTCTTCAGTAGATTAGCCATGTGCTTTCGCTCCTCCAAAGCATTTCGGATAAGCTGTTCGTGGTTGGTAGCGTCTTCCAACAGTTTGAGCTGCTTCATTCGGGCTTCTTCGCAATTCTTCTTGGTGGTTTCTTGTGTCTTGAGGGTCATCTTGTTCATAAAGTGAGATACCTTCAGGAGCTTCTTGCCCAAGTCATTAACAGTTGCTCGAAGTTTCTCGCGCTCCTCTTCGAGGACCTGTACTCGCTTCGTGTACATGGTTGCAGCATTGCCATTGTCGGCTGCGGATTCGGCAAGCTTTCCAGCCAACTGAGACACCTGAGAAGCCAACTCGTGCTCATTTTCGATCTTGCTCTTCAACTGAGCTTCCAAGACAGCAGCACGTGCCTGAGCACTTGCCCAATCCATCTTGAGACTCTTCAGTTCCTTTTCGTGCCTCTCGTTCTTCTCCTTCATGGCGATGTATTCGGAAGAATCCTTGCCGAAACCCCTCTCCTTATTGGACTGATCGAGATCCCTCTTCAACTTATCGCTCAAGAGCTTCAATTCAGCAATCTGGTTCTCCATATCTTCCTCCTTTTGGGCCTTGGCGTCATTGACTTCCTTGAGATTAGTGTCAAGCGTAGCAGCTTTGACAGCCAGGAAACGTTCAGTCTCGCCCTTACTCTTTAGCTGGGCCTCCAAAGAGTTCACATGGTCAACCAAGACTTGGGTTGCCCCTTTCTGTTTTGCAAGCTCCTTTTGCAAAGTCTCGACAGTCTCATGAAGGTCATTTCGTTCCTCTTTGAGAATATTGACATCTTGCTGATGCTTCTTCTCGACCTCAATCAGTTTGGAATCAAAGATTGCTCTCTGCTCAGCAGTGACAGCAGCACGTTCAGTGGCGGCAGCAGCGTTGGCATAGTAAGTGGGTCCGCGTTCCAAAGCTCGGACAAAGGCATCTCGGTTGGGTGAGGCGGAAGCCTGGGCCAAGACCAAAGGGATGCGCCCTTTGCGGTCCTTAATGTTGACAGACTGAGGGAAGGCCACCAACAATAGATTTACGGTTCCTTCCGAAGACCCATGACGGAAAGCAAGATGCAAAGGCAACATGCCTTGGTCATCCTTGCTTTGTGCTCCCTTGGGATATGCGGCCAGTAGGCTTTCGACGATTTTCTCGGGGGCCTTGAAGATGATGGCGGCATGAAGGGGCAAGAGCCTCCAACGGAGCTTGCCATGCTTCTCCTTGCGGGTGACCCATGTTCGAGCCTCAAGCGAATCGCCATTAGCATTTTTCTCGGCAGCAGCCCACTCCTTTTTCTGAAGATTCAGAAAGAGATCAGTCGGGTTCTTGTCGTAGTCGCATTCGTATCCTGCAGAAGGTGTCTCCACTGCTTCCTCGCCTTCACCACGAGCAGTGCTTTCGGCGGCATCACGTGCTTCTCCTACTAGAACATTATTGTTTTCGTCAAGGTGGGGGATCTGAATAGACAGACCCATTTCCCCGTTGGTCAATGGCATGGGCTTCTGAGGAGGCTCTACAAACACTCGAGGTGAATCACATGCCCAACTTCCAGGCATCATGCTACGAGGCGTGCTGAGGAAGGTGGCCTCAGGCTTTGCGTTTCCAGTAATCGTCTCCAACATCTTTCTCTTCTGATTTATTGTATGCGATCGTACTGAAATGCTTTGGTTGCTGTCACAACTGCATCCGACGATTTGAGATATAAACTGGATCGATTTGTGAGCCTTTGGTTACCTTCGGCGAACATTCCCACTCAAACACATCGCAGAGTACACTTGCTGCGATAGCAAGCAGTCCCCATGGGCGATGCTGTATTTGCACTTCTACGGACATGAAGATTGGGCACAAATCGCCTAGTATAGGTAATTCAGTACTCGCGCGCCGACATTATATCTACCACAATCCACGGTAGCTTCCACGACATTTGCAGAACATTTACCATCGTGGTGTCCGGGTAAGGTACACGTAACGGTGTTACGCCGCAGCCCCAGAGAGAGATGTGAGTCGAGTCGAGTCGAGTCAAGTCTGGGAACATTCTTCTCGCTAATTTGTTGAAGTGGATCCAAACTATGGCATATGGTTACCTTCGTAGATAGGTGCAACGAGATTCACCAAAGAGATATGTGCCGGTAGAGAGCACCCACAACAGTAAACTGAGTGGAAATTTGCAGATCTAACCAGACGAAACCGGTGTGATACAGCCAGCTGCTACCGGTCCCGAGGGTCTCTACCAGTGCCTGGTACCAATCTGGGCTAAACAGAACCACCTAGCTAGTTATTCGTGTGTTGGTTATCTGCTGAAACAGCCAATATTTAATGAAGTTGGTTGCTTTTTTAGCCTATTCAATGAGCGGCAGCATCATGTGCCATACTAGTATTCTTGGCCGGGAAGATCGAAGTTTCTTTGCTTTCGAATTGGCATCGTATCTATTTGAGAGACACAAAGATTGGTCGCATCAACTTGAAGGACCTTTTCAGCCAACCCAGAAAGTATTAACGTTGTCAACTTGCTAGACGGCAATATCCAAGCCTGCACTATTCAAGTAGAATATCCGTTGCTGCCTGTTCAACCACACTACATGTACATGTAGTATTTGGCCCGCTAATGTTCTCTCCTTTCTACAATTGTAATTGTACGGTGCCGGTACCACTCCTCCACAATCCCTCAAAACTCTTTCATCGCAAGATGCTTTCAAAGAGGATTTGCGACATCGACAAGAGCTAATGTTTTGGAAAGGGTTCAGGATAAATACCTTCAAAAAGACAATCGGATGGTTTTGGCCCCTTTCCACGGGAGGCAGACGATCACCTTTTGAACTGCAACAAAGAAGCACCATCCACCGCGCTGCAAGACCATCGCAATCTGGAAGACTTTGGCATGAAGTGGGTACATTGGCTCCCGTCATCTGGGACTGCTGTTCCTCTTGGCCAGGTAGAATTGGATTCCCTCTAGAATGATAGTAAAGAGCAGATGCGAGTCTCGACTCTGTTTGGAATTCCTGGCTCTGCAAAAAAACTTGTGTTGTAGAACGGCGAATGCTCTTCTACATGCTGCAGGAGTGTCGCCCAAGAGGTGCTTTCTCACCTTTGCCTACCGGTACCGGTATCCGCGTTGCTACCAGCTTGATCCATTACCACCACCCAAGTTCCGGTATGATCCAAAAAGATTACATGATACCGTACGTGATTGCGCCTATGACAAGCTCCTTTTCTCTCAAGCTGTGAAAGGTTTGCAGCTGGTGGAATTTGCTGTGATGTGCTGATGCGGTCGGCATAGCATCCGACAGATAGGAAAAGGGCCCAAGGCAAGTAGTCGAAAGGGGAAATGGATTCCGTCGAAATGAGCCAGCTGGCTACCGTACAGGAGGGAATGAAAACTTTGGGCACAAATACTTGGCATTGGCGAGATTAGGCAGCATGGCACATAATCTTGCAGTATGTATCTTTTGAAGCCAAGGTTTCTGGATCTTAAGACTATCTTGGGTGACATTTGGAATCGATGGCCTTCGTGTTTTTGCCTGGTCATACTGACGGAGATCCAATCATCAGTACGGTACGCTTGAAGAGACAGGCTTGCAGCTTTTTGCACAGATTCGGAGACTTGTCCGAGTGGCGAACGACGCAGTGAAGCCGATGGAGCCAGTCCGTGTTGCTGGAAGGTGACAAAACTTGCAAAACCCAACCACGGAAGCTGAGTTGTTGCCAAGGCGAATCTCATTTGATACGGACGGGAATCAGGAACGACAGCAAAGAACAACTACCCACGAGTATACCCAACTCTGCATGTCTAGTAGGCGCACACACGCCTACGGTACATCCTAACCTAGCTATTCTCGTGACCGTAAAAGAGTACATCTATTATGTATGAAAGCACAACGTCTACCGCTATAATCAATCATCGACGACAGCTCGAATCGTCCTGTCCCCGGAATGCTGTGGTTGGCTCGACATCTCTCCTGTTTCGAGGCAGAAGCCTTCCAGCGTCGGCTCACTATCGAATTTGTCGCTGTGCGGTTCGCGTACACTAAACTTTTGCCCCATCGATCGACAACACCACGTCTCCGTCCATTCTGGCTGGCTCTTTGAACTCTCTTTATTATTTGGCCATTGACTTTCGACTGCTCCTCCTGGCGGACGACCCCATCCTGGCAAACAAAGACAGACGTTCACCAAACATTTTATCCAACTTTTTGACATCCACCCACGGTTCCATCTTTTGTGATTTGGGGTTCCACTGGTATTGTTGATTCTTCACGACGCGAGAGACTCCCTTGATGAATCCCCGCCAATCGGTGTGTACATCGGGTGCATTCTCAAAGAGACTCTTTCCAAAGAGCACACCCAGAAATTCCTTGACTTCGTCCTTGTTCAAAGGGCGCTCATCGAGCAGATCAAACAGACGATGCTGATATCCCAGCTCACGAGTTCTGTGAATGGGCAATCCATAATTCAGCCATCCATTATGCCTGGAAACCTCCTTGGCTTCCGCCGCATGATCATCGAGTACTTCTAGCGGCAATTCCAGTTCTTCATCGAGACTGTTGTAAAAGGTCCGGGTTTCAAAGTCATCCGTACACAGTCGAATCACCAACCAGACGGGATAACTTTGCAGGGAGCGGAGTAAATTCACAAAATCCCGTGCCGCTTCGGGAGACCCACCATAGGCATCCGTGGGCAAGCCATCAGTGGCAATCACGACAATGGCCTTTTGTCCCTTCTTCGCCAAGGAACTGGCAATGGGAACGATTTTTTCTCGAATTTCAATCAAGCGGTCCGTCAATGGGGTGGGACCTTGCGGTTGACAGGTGAGCATGGCCATTGTGGCATTGTTGATATCTTCCGGAATGGCATCGGCGCCGTGCTCGGCGACACTGAAATTCTGTGGAACACGGGGATCACCCGTCGGATTGAGCATGTGAAAGATGGTGGTGGCTTCTAGCAGGCCGGCCAATTCGGCATGACATTGCACTGTGGCTTGCATTTCGGCCCACCTGGTGCAAGGGATGAGCTGTGTATTCTTGTCCTTTCCTCGGAGGACGTGACCATCGGACGTCCACATACTGCCCGAGTTATCTATTGTCCAGAAACGAATTGGATTCGACCGCACTGTGGCGACCAGTTCCTGCGCTAGTCCAATCGGAAATCCATGTGCTTGCAGATTGGTTTCTTGTTCGGCTGTCAGTCGCACCATGGAACTAGGAGTGTTGGTGGTGGCCAGGGGCAGCGCGTATACCCCATCGTAAAGGGCGGTTGATTCGGCATAGGCGACAGGCACTTCCTGGTCGGTGCTACCGTTCTTGTCGTGGTGGCCGTGGTGGCCTTGATTGTTGTGGGGATGTTGTTCGGCCATGGTGGATCTCGTCTTGCTGCTGCTCACATGAAACTTGGGATAATCATGCATCTTTTCTTCACGGGCGTTGGGTACGTAAGTCGATTTGAATTCGCTTTCTTCGGAGAATGAATTCAATCAGCCAACAGAACTATGGGTCCACTGCATGCACCACCAAAGTAGGATTAGAAACAGATTACTCGATAGTACCACTGTGGCTGATAGTACCACTGTGCTGGCCTATCTAGGCGCTATGAGGATGATCGGGGCAAACACAAGAACGCTGAAGACTACATGAACTCTTGAAAGAGCAAGTCTGCTTGGGGATGGGGACGAGGTGTGGTCTGGTTTTTAGCAAGGACGCTATGTGCTTTTGGCTGGATACCGTACGGTAGGAGGAAGAAGGCGTCAAACTGAGTCGAGTCGACGCGGCCTTTCTCTTTGGAGTCGAGTCGGAACAAGTCGTGCTGAACCACTGTGATCTTAAGAGTACTTTGAAGGCTCACAAAAGATGGAGTAAAAAGCTACTCTTTAAATAACACTGGAACAATTGCGACAAACAGCCACCACTGCTTTTAAATATGTGTCCGTCCCAAGACTCGTAATTAGAGATCAGGTTCACTCGGACTTCTTTTCTTGCTTTATACTCTAAGTACCATTACAGAAATACTACTGTCATAACAGCACAGAGACCTATTGATACTATTTTAATTAATAGCCAGCTATGATAGTGGTACATGTATTTACTAATTAAAACATGTAGCTGACGTACCTAAATATCGCCGTCTTGCCTTGGTATGAAGATATAATATACAGAACTGGGTACGGTATGTTATAAGTACCGGGACCAATAGACTACTAGTACTATTAATAGTATGCTGTCACATGTTCATTATTTCCTGTGGCAATCCTTAGCAAGAGGAGGTGAAGAAGATCCTGGGAGTTAAGCCGGAAGACAAGTACACCAGAGGGACCAAGCTGGAATGAATCGATGGGCTTTATGCTGCAATCACTAATCAGCATGATGACATCCAAAATCCAAACGATACAGACCACATTGACGGAATCTTTGGAGGCCAAGAAAGAAGTTGTCAAATTTATCATACCGCTACGTAGTATGGCTTGTACCGTGCGTAAGAATTTATCCATGTTAATTAATAAGCCTGCTCCAATTGTTACCATTGTCTGAGTTTACAAAAGTAATCACTACATGTACCAGCACCTTTTCTTGCTACAGGGCAGTCGGTACCGGCACCTGCTTTTCAAGAGATCCATGAACACAGTGACTTTGTCAAAAAACATGAGATCCTATGACAGTCATTCGCCAACTAACCAGCTGGGATGGAATCATAAAATTCAGCATTTCTACATGTGTATGGTCAGGTTCATGCCCAGAATTACTAGTAGTACTACCGTTAGGTAGTAGTCTACTCTTCGTTCTACATCTGCTTGTATGAAGTGTGCAATCTAATAATAGAGGGAATGGCATATACCCGGAACACGACTTAAGGATCCAGGTAGATGCGGTAAAACCAACACACTCGGAGTCATGCATATCTTTAACTCTATTTGCTTCAACTGCCATTATTTTACAGACGAAATGTTGTACTAGCTAGCTAGCTAGACTAGTAACGGTGTGCAGTCCATGTTTCCCAGCAAGGTCCTGAAATGGGACTAGTTTCACGCTTTTTGTTAGTTTCACCGAAAATGGACCACCGTTTCCTTGAAACTAACCCAAAAGGGTGAAACTAACCCAAAAGCGTGAAACTAAACCAGAAAGCGTGAAACTAACCAAAAACGCGTGAAACTAACTGAAAAGCGTGAAACTAGTACAGTATCTGTCATAGTAAATCAATGTAAACACGACTAAAAACGTGAAACTAACTCAAAAGCGTGAAACTAACTTAAAAGCGTGAAACTAAACCAAAAAGCGTGAAACTAACCAAAAAAGCGTGAAACTAACCAAAAAGGGTGAAACTAACAAAAAGCGTGAAACTAACCCAAAAGCGTGAAACTAACAAAAAGCGTGAAACTATCGTTTGAGTCCCGTTTCGGGATCTTGCTGCCCATCTCACTTTTTTGACTTTACCTGGAGTCTTCCACCACTCCCAGCCACCCCAGCCTTGGCCCTGTAGATGACATTGGCAGGACAGTGGCTCCTGGTACTATATATGCTAAGTACAGAGAGTGGGTATCCCTGGATGTACGTGCTGGATTGATAGTTCTAGGATTGGGAACAGAAGTGGGTAATTTACACCTGACTGACTGCTAGATCCTAAAAACAATCCAATGAGGCGCCAGGGAGGTGGGCTTTGCAAAAGCACCATGGCGATCCTTCCAACTGGCTGTTGATCAGAGCAACTGAGATCAGCAGCAGCCCGCCACTGTCTGCAGATCAACCCTAACACCATCTGCAGTGGCAACCAGTCCGCGCAAAGAGCAAATGTGAGTCTGCATGATGCAATCTACATTGATCTGCTTAGATTCACAGTCCGCAATTTGCAGCACGACAAGAGGCGGAAGAAGCACAATAAAATGATGATTTGCTTGCCACCGATTTCCACGGTTTGCAGGACGAGGATTTTGAGTCATTCGGGACTGACTCACTCCGCGCGGCTTCCAATGAACGGAAAGGCAAGGATTTGTCATTGTTCACACAGAAACCTTTGCTTCGGCTTTGGCAACTTATCTGCCTCTTCCATCCAAGCATCATACTGTCTGCAATAGTTTAGTTTGTGTCGGTGAGTTTGTTTGAGAAGGAGCATAGCAGTATTAGCAGCATCAGTAAAGATTATGCCGAGAAAGTCTCGTAAGCGAAGCGTCGAGGACGCAGTTGAGGATGATGAGGCATCTTCTGTCAAGCGGCCAGCACACGATGAAGGTAGCGAGGAAGCTACAGAAGCTGGAGAGCAAGATCCCTCCACGGGTGTGAAGGAAGAAGAGCAAGAAGCCGTCTCACAAAAAGAGGAAGAAGAGTACGTCTCACAAAAAGAGGAAGAAGAAGAAATCTCACAAAAAGAGGAAGAAGAGGACGTCTCACAAAAGGAGGAAGAAGAAGAAATCTCACAAAAGGAGGAAGAAGAGATCTCTCAGAAGGAAGAGAACGATGATGCCGATGACGAACAAGCTGGTGAAGAAGAACAAGCCGCTGCCATCAAGGACGACGAACCAATGACCGAAGAAGGCGACAATGACGAGGACGAGGAGATGGAGGAAGCCGACAATGACGAAGAGGACAACAACCAACGGGAAGAGGATGGAAAACCCTTTCGGAGAATCAACGCTGCAGGAAAGCCAGCTGAGTGTGGTGTGATTGCCAGTGTTTATTGTGAGAACTTTATGTGTCAGTAAGTACAAATTATTGGGTTTCACAATTTTTTGCCATCGAAATCCATGCTCATTGACGTCTCTTATTCTCTCTCTCTCTCTTAGCCCGAGGCTGACAATTGATCTCTGTCGGAATGTCAACTTTATTCATGGACGGAATGGCAGTGGAAAATCGGCAATCCTCGCTGCAATCCAGATTTGTCTCGGCGCAAATGCCAAGCGAACGGGCCGTGGCAGAAATCTGAGAGACTTGGTCCGGAAGGAGGCTGCCGGGCGAAACCCCAACACATCCGCAAAGGTTCGAGTGACGCTCTTGAATGGGGGTGAAGATGCCTACAAACCCGACTTATTCGGCGACAAAATCACTGTCGAACGATGCATTTCACTTTCAGGAGGCTACAATGGCTTCAAGCTCCTGGATGGAGACGGTAAAGAAGTCTCACGCAACAAGAAAGATTTGCTGGATATGTTGGACTACATGAATATTCAGGTGGACAATCCCGTGGCAATCCTCAGTCAAGAAGAGGCCAAGAAGTTCCTGGGAGGGAAGCCAGAGGATAAATATCGTTTCTTCACTAAGGCGACGGAGCTGGAACGAATCGATGGTGTTTATGCGGCAATCACCGATCAGCACGACGACATCCAAACGAAACAAACGACCTTGACGGAATCTTTGGAGGCCAAGACGGAAGTCGTCAAAACTCTCCGAAAGAAAGTTGATGAATTCCAAGCAGTAGACAAATTGGAAAAACAGTTGTTGGATACCACTCGAGATATGGCTGTTGCTTTCTATATGGAACGCAATGCTGATTTTGAAAAGGCAGCTCAGGTATGCCCCTTTAGACGCTGCTGAGCCTGTGCAATTTGTCGCCGTGTGTTGTTTTGGTGACTCACAAGTTCATCTTCTAGACTTTGCAAGGTACCCAGGAGAAATTGGAAGCGAGAGAGCAGGAGCTGACGCAGCTGGAAGAGGAAAAGGCAAGCGGCTCCAACGACCAAGATGAAGAGAGTCGAATCAAGGAGACCATGGACGAGCTCCAGAAAGAGGCAGAGATCCAGGGGGATTTGAAACGAAACCTTGCGGCAGACTTGAAACTGAAGCAAGCGCCAATCAAGGGTCTTCAGCGCGATTTGAAGTCGTTGGCAGCGGAAAAGAAAACCCACGCCCAAAACTTGATTCGAGCCAAGAAGCGTCTCAAGGATGCACGGGAGGAAATGCTCGCAAAAGCTGGGTCCGCAGAATCCGAAACGGCTCGCCGCACAGCCGAGCTCGCCCAAATTGAAGAGTCTCTTGACAAAGCCAAAGCGGAGCTTGATGAGATTCATGAGGCCATTACCGTTTCGCACCAGGAATACAAGGAGGGATTGCCGGAAGTGGAGCAAGCCAAAGCGCTTTCGGGCAAAAAGAAAAGCGAGTTGGATAGGGCAAAATCGACTCTTCGGGAACTTCAATCCTCCACGTCGAGTGATGGAGCATCAATCTTTGGTCAACGCTGTTCCCAGATGAAGCACATTGTGCGTCCATGTTGTGACGTCGTATCATCCCTATATATTGCTCTGGCTAACCCTTTCTCTCGCCTGGTTCTCCATACGGTAGGTGGACCAGCATACACGCAACGGCAAATTTCGAGGCCAGGTAATTGGGCCGATTGGCGCCTATCTCAAACTTGCCCCTGGGAAGGAGAAGTATGGCCAGCTGGCTGAGTTCTGTATTGGTCAGAACTCAATGGATCGATTCATCGTAACGGACCAGCGAGATGTCAAGGTAGGTCTGCGTTACAGTTTGTTGCAATGGATCGGTCTATCTTTGAAGGGAGTTCCCCTGACAATCTGTCATCGACCCCTTGCCACCCAAAGCTCGTAGACTCGATTCGACGACAGGTCGGTTGCCAACGTGACTGTGGCGTTTTCAAGGTAAAATCGAGCCCTCGCTACGTGGTCCCTCCGCCCCCTTCGGACCAAGTTGAAACAGTCGCTAGTGTCCTGATCGTTGAGAATGATATTGTGTTCAACTGCTTAGTTGACCAACTGAATATCGATCGTCGGGCCTTGGCTCCTTCGAAAGAGGTTAGCGAAGAGAGTCTCTTGGTATCCAACCAAAACGGCCGCTATTCCATCAAAGGCATCATCAACGAAGTTGTCTTTCTACCGAGGGGAGACAAATGGAGTGTTCGCGACGGTGCGCTTTCCATCATGTCGAACGACAGGCAGAAATTTCCTGCTCGCAAAATTGGAGTGGACCTTACATCCGCTATTGAGGAGCGCCAAGAGGAAGTCCGTACTTTCGACAAGGAACTGAAGGAGTTGCGTGCGGCTGAATCAGACTTGTCTCGCGAATCTAATCGATTGAAGAAACTCTGGAACGAGAAACAACGAGAAAAGCGAAATAACGAAGGTAGGCCGAGTGTTCCATTTGAAACCCCTTCCTTGTCCCTTTTGCACCCCCTCCCCTCAATGGATGCGTTGTTCACTTGATACATCCATAGTCAAGGACGAAAAACTCCGCGAACGAAAGGAAAGAATCGAATTGGAGCTGGAGACGACGGCAGACACGGCAATGGACACCACCGAACTGGAAGAGTGAGTTTGACACTGAGTTTATTTCCTTGTCCCCGGCTGTTTCGCTGCTTGTCATACTCATCGGCTTCGTTTCCGTGCTGTACCACGTTATCAGCGACGTCGCCAAAGCGGAGGAGCAGCTGAATTCCGTGAATGAGAAAGAGACAAACATTCGCAAGGACATTGAAGAAAAGCAGCCAGAAATTCAAGATGTGCGGAACCGGCTTGAAGAGGTTCAAGCTCGCAATGACAAGGTTCTACAAGACATGCAGAAGGCAGCGGAAGATCTCGACGCCTGCGTGCAACGCATGGATCAGTCGCAAGCAATTCTTGATAAAAAGCGGGAGAAGGTGCAGAAAACTGTAGAGATTGCCAAAAAGAGAAAAGAGGAATTTGAAAAGCGGGAGAAGGAACGAGAAAACGCCTTGACTGTTGCGCGGAAACTCACTCTCCAGGCGCAGCTCAAAGAGGAGCGAGATAAAACTGAATCTGCTGGTTGCGCTCAGGAGCCGTCGCAAGCGGAGTTCACCGAAGATGAGCTCGCAAACGTAGAAATTGTTGCCGTTGACAAAGAACACAAGTACTACGAGGCCAAAATGAAAAGGGTCAAGGCGAAGATTGAAAAGGAACTTGAGCGCAGAGACCTTTCAAACGAGGATCCCACTGAAGCCATCGAGAAACTTTCAAGAGCCAAGGATGATTTGCGCTCGACGCAGGAAGCTGTGGACAAAAGTGAGAGCACGTTGCGGGTTCTTCGCAGGGACATGAAGAAAAGACGCCAACGATTCGATGATCTCAAAGACTACTTGGCTCGCATGACACGTAAGTGAAAGATTGACTGTCTCCGTGATGCTCAGGTACAGTGCATCATTCCTCACGCCTCTGCTCTTGCAACACCACACCAGACGAGCGCTTCGACAGCATCTTGCATCTAAACAATGCCAGTGGAAGTCTTGAGTTTGACGACGACAAAAAACAACTGAACCTGGTGGTGCAGAAAAGCGCCAAAGATCCCAACAGTCAGACAAAAGACGTCAAGTCCTTGAGGTGGGTCACGAAACTCTTGAAATCTTGTATTACGCCTTTGTGTTTCTCGGACAAACTGCTTATATGTATATCTGTGTTGTAAAGCGGTGGGGAACGAAGCTTCACAACCATATCATTGCTGCTCGCGTTGGGGGAAAGTCTGGAGACGCCCTTCCGCGTGTTCGACGAATTTGACGTGTTTTTGGATACACAGGCACGGAAGCTTGCAATCAAAACTCTCATTCACATCGCCAAGAAGATGGAGCACCGGCAATTCGTGTTTATTACTCCTCAAGATCTCTCTAGTGTCACCCCTGATCCACAGTTGAAGGTTTTCAAACTCAAGAATCCTCGCTCCAGCGAGGAAGCTGGTGGCCTCACTCAGTCTCACCTGGACTGATGTTTCGTGTGCACCCACTTTCTCTGCCAGCCATATAGTACTAGCTTAAAATAAAGGTTGAGCCCCCGCAGGGGGCTCTGAACCATAAAGATTGGGCCCTTTGGGGCCCAACCACCAAGCTAGCTAGCTAGTGGGAGTGGAACACATGGTCTTCTGGCTTGCCCTCAAAGCACTGCAGCAGAGCCTCCTGCATCTTCGACTTTGTCTTTGGGATGGACTTTCCCCATGACGACTCAGCTAGGTGGGGGCTTCCCCACCCATTGCCCGCGTCACTAAAGCCACTCCGTGGCCATAGTTTGTTAAACTAACGAGTATTTTACACCCTGGGATGGACTTTCCCAGGACCCTGGCCCAACCCTTCATGTCTGCGAAGCTTGTGCGTGGGTCCAACAGCTTGGCTTTGGTCAGACCACCTTGCTTTGGAGCAGCCTTTCTCTTGCCAGCGGCATGTTCATTGATCCTGGCCATCTGAACAAGCTGACCCTTGTCTCTGAGCAAAGCTCTGGCATGCTGGAGCCTCAGCCTACCCCTGAGACCAGCGTTGCCCTGCCGCATCATGTTGAAGTGCATTCGATCGAATGATTCAGCAGCGAGCACGGCAACATTGTCCGTGTTGGCGGTGCTACCATAGTGCTCGATTGCGTGCTCGACTGAGTTATCAAAGACTTCTTTTTGCTTGGCAGTCAGTTTTTTTGAAGAATCCAACCACTGGTTGACAACACTGACCTGACAGAGGGACATGGGGCTCTGGTTCCTGCTCCAATTGTTCTGAGGGCCGTGCATGGTGGTTGGGCTGGCAGATTGTGGTGTTGTGGAGCTCAAATTCCATGGCTGCTAGAGACTGTTGCTCGGCCTTCCATCGTTTGTCAATGCCGTTTCCAAAGAAATTCGTAATTTGGGACTGCAGCTTCGTCCTTCCTTGCAAGGGCTCTCATAACAGGAGATGTGACTCTGTGGACTGCTCCCTGTGGGAAATGGTTCTGCAGATGCCGATCCAATTTCCCCGCCACTAGAGGAGTCCTAGCTTTCACAGAGGCACGTCCTGTCTTGCCAACAGCCGCCAAGAACACCATGCCGTTGGCGTCCACCTTGGGGAACCTCCACTGGAGTACAGGTTCCGGATGTAGTGGTCGATACCAGCCGGCGCCTCTTTCGTACTCGCACTCATCATCTTCGAAGGATTGCGATGAAAGCGGCTATGTCCTCGGCTGCGGTGAGTACCTCTACGGCTACTGAATGCCTCGGTTGTTATACTGTCTTGCTTGTACCTCTACGGCTACTGAATACGGACGGGATGACCTCGGTTGTATGGTCTTGCTTCACTATCTCGCTCAAATTCGAAATCCTCTGGATGCATGCTCCGTCGGTCTTTCAAAAACAACACGAAAACAACACGAAAACAACACCACCAGAGACTGATCGAGCTGACACAGAGATGCGAAACTGACCTCATCGAAGATCGAACCATTCTGATTGGCTAATCCTCTACGGCGGGTCTACAGGGGTAGTGTATGGATTGGGCCGATGTCGGCACAGCGGTCCCGCTGTACTTTCTGTACCAATCCTTTTATGTTCTGATATGCGAACTACCGACGACCCTGAGGTGGCTCAATGTTGAGCCGGAACATAAAGGAACAGTACTAGTATCTGACGAAAAGTTTACCAAAATTAATTCGACTCTTAACATTGCCTGGAGCATTCCTCAATCGTGCATGACTTTGAATCCGTCCCCAATTTAGGATCGGTTTGGGGGAATCCGTCCCTAAATATAGGGACGATTTCAAAACCCGACCCTAAAACGAAACCCGACCCTAAATTAGGGACGGATTTTCAGAAACCGTCCCTATTTTTTAGAAACCGTCCCTATTTTTAGGGTCGGTTTTCAAACCCGACCCTAATATTGGTGCGTTTTCAATGCATTCACCATTCAGTCCCGTTTCTATTTAGGGACGTTTTTCAAACCCGACCCTAAATCGAAACCCGACCCTAAATTAGGGACGGTTTTTCAGAAACCGTCCCTATTTTTCAGAAACCGTCCCTATTTTTAGGGTCGGTTTCGAAACCCGACCCTAAAGGGAATCCGACCCTAAATCCGACCCTATTTTAGGGTTGGTTTCATGCACAATTGAGGAACGCTCCTGATGTTGAATAAGTTTGTTGATCTCACAGAAGTTTTTGTCTTTTATTAAAATTGGGATTATCGATTGGGATTTCTGACCAAGCCTTTAGGTCTTTGGGTCGTCGTACAGTACAGTACGACAGGGGGTAGACAGCACTACATACAGCTTGTTCATATGCACAGGATTTTCAGAGAGCAAGCCTGCAGCTAAATCCAGGCATGGCAGGCGACGCGATTCCTGTGCAATTGAACAGGCGCCTGTGCAATTGAACAGGACGTTGGAATCCTGTTCAATTGCACAGGAATTGCGTCGCCTGTTCAATTGCACAGGAAATAGACAGCCTAGCCTGTTCAATTGCACAGGAAATAGACAGCTCAGCCTGTTCATATGCACAGGCTCCTGTCCAAGCATAGAGGATTTGACACTTCAGTTTTTTCTCTAAGTCCAAAGTTTAAGTCAAGTTACACCATTAGGTAAATGTACTATCATTCAAAATTTATATAAGGAGTGCTAAAGCCCAGTAAAGTACAGGGAACACTCCCTTCTAAAGGTTGGCACCGTAGCTAGACCTTGTGCTCATAGAGAGAGACGTGCAAATTCGTTTTTAGCAACAGCAACAGCAGCAAGCAAGGACAACTACTACCATATCCATCCGTCTCTTGCATTTATTTGTGGCTGCTTGCAACTTTGGTGTTTGTCATTCTTTTTTCCTCCCAGTGACCCATTGCCTGTACTATTGAACAGGCACCCGTCTCTTGTGCAAACGAACAGGCTTCTGTACCAACAACCCAGAACCTTCATGTGCTATCGAACAGGCAACATCATGTGCTTCCGTACACGCTGATCCTGACTTGATTCTTTGATTGCTGATTTCTGTAGTGGAGCATAATAATCCCAGAGTATTACATGGACCTTAATGTATAGTTGGTCTTCATGTGTGTATCACTCTACATGTAAGTATTGAATGATCTATTTTCCTAATGGTGTAACTTTGACTTTGGACTTAGAGAAAAAATTGAAGTATCAAATCCTGTATGCTTGTACAGAAGGCTGTGCATATGAACAGGCCGTCCATTTCCTGTGCAATTGATCAGGCGTGATCCTGTACGTATATACAGGATTGCGCCTGTTCAATTGCACAGGCACAGGACGTTTTTTTGAATTCAAGCCAAAAGATGGCTGGCCATGCTCTCTATCAGCGGGCATCCTCCCTGTGTAGATGAACAGGCTGTATGTAGTGCTCTCTACCCCCTGGAACACTCACGATAAAAGCCTTACAGGCCAAAATGACCGTATTAAACGCCTCTAAGTCATATAGCCTGAAACTACTTAATCGTGAATGTCGGAGTTCTGAACCGATGTCTGAGAATGTCGGCGTTTGTATGAGAATGTCGGAGTTTGTACGAGAATGTCTGCATTTGTCGGAAAATGTCTGCAGAATGTCGGAAGGTTTCCAGACATTTCAGCGAGACTTTTCCGACATTTAAAACGGATGACTTTCGCTGGTTAAGTCTTGTTCTTCACTGGTTTGTACTTACTCTTCCATAGGGAGTAGGTTTGATTTCGGGTCCCCAGGCGATTCACTAAGGTTATGGCTGATGTAAGTCATGAGTCCGTCATTTATGATCATATACAGCCCCGTATAGATGATAAATTTATTTAGAGCTTTTTAACAGCATTACAAACCGTCCAACGTCCCGCTGGATCAGGATGTTACAGGAACAGAAAAACTGAATTAAGGGAGAGAACTCGTCATAATTCCATGGTGAGAAAGCGTGACAGAAAAAAGATGGTGGTCTTTTGCCAGGTTACAGACACACGTATCCCTGAAACAAGAAGAAACAGCAACTTGGTAGTTATCGTACCAGGAAAGTTGCTGATTCTTCTCTTGTCAGAAAGCCCCCTTCCGCCCAGGAAAATACAGACACTCACAAAAAGAACACCTTACTTATAGAGAGACACTTTTCACATATACTTTTCATTATAGTTGTTATTCTACGGGCTACTAACCACACTCTTTTCTGTTTCTCTGACTAACCCAGAGTTCCCGCCGACTCACAGGGGGGACTTGCTTTGCTTGTTTTGTTAACGACTGTAGACGAAAATAGTAGAAAACAACAGTGAACATACAGCAGAGAAAACCCAGGACCATACAGGGTTGCTCCACCTTCCAAACTGTGACTGACATCTGCTCCTCCTAGACATGATAAAACTGCCTGCCGCCATTTCCTCCACCATTCCCACCATTCTCTTTTGCACCACCGTTTCCGAAATGCTGTTGCTGCTGCTGCTGATGCTGCGACTGACCATTATTGGGGGTCTTCCGATAAGGGTTCTGCCTAGTAGTACCCTGTGATTGGTGCTGATTGGCAGAGCCGTGAACATTCTGTTGACTCTGGAAAGAAGAGGTCGAGCTTCCAACATTCTGGTGCACTACGCTAAAAGCTAGTGTAAAGATCTTTCGAGTGTTTTGAGTTTGAGAGAATGAAAGTTATGAGAGAGATTAGAAAGCTATGAAAACTAATCAACGAGAGAGATCATCATCAAGGGATCGTAGATCTGGCTTCCCGCGGGAGACTATAAAGTGTGATAGAGTAGGTTATGGTAGTAATCCTACGTATCTCCACGATCCTAAAACGGAACGCGTGGAAGATTCGTCTAGCATGGATCTAGTAGCGTGGAAGTACTCCACGCTGGCTAAATATCTAGAGCGATGTTTCATCATCAACCTAGTATGACCAGAGCGGTCATTGAGAACCCTGTCTCAAATGACTATTCACGAGAGACTCAGTCATGAGTCGAACTCAAACCCCATCTAGGATCGAGTCGCGAATAAGGCTAAGAGCCGTGTATTGCATTCGCCCCCTGACAAGGGTCATA